TTCTAGTAAGAGGAGGTTTTTTAATTTTGATATCTTCTGTAATAGGAATAGCTGGATTAGCAAATGCAGTTGCTGGATTAATTTCTATAAAATCTTCTTTTTCTAATACTCCCATTTCACCCATTATTTCAATTTATGTGTTATAAAATGGATTGTTTTTATCTAAACCAGAAATAGTTTTTCTTTCTTAATTTTTTTATTTTGGTTAAACTTTAAGTTTAGAAATAACAGATTATGCCCAATTTTTTTCATCATTTACCCATTTATCTACAATAGTAATTTTTTAATCTTCTTTGAGTAATTTCTAAAAATATTTCTTTCTTTCATTGACTAACTTCTTTGCTAAGAATCGTCTAACCAAAGATTAGATGATAACATATGGATTTTTTTTAGATCTTTCTTTGTACACATTACCATAATTAAATTTTTTCTGTTATAACACTCCTGGAATGTTATCAAATTTTATTTCATCTACCTTTGCTTCTACAGTAATTGTTTTTGTAAAGACCCTTTAATTATGTGGATGTTACTCCAAATTTGAATTTGCATTTGCATCTTTATTAATTGAACTAATTACCTAAAAAATTTTAAATCAAAGCCTTTCTATCTGTATTCATTGATTTAAGTGTTTTTTCAAAAGGATTAGATTGTTCAGCCTTTTACTCAAATACTTAAGTTCTATTGAAACCAACAGAACTATTTTGACTATTAGTTTGTTGCTTTTTCATTCTAATTATTATTATTATATTTGTAAAAAATTAAAGAAAACTAAAAAATTTTATATTGAATTTTATGAATAAATCAATGACTTGATTATTATGGATGACTACGTAATTATCTAGATTTAACAGGATGTTTTGAATGATAATCCTCAATTCTTTCTTCTATTTCTTCTCTATATGATCTTATTAATCCTTAAACAGGCCATGCAGCAGCATCTCCAAGTGCACATATAGTATGACCTTCAATTTAATATGTTAATTCCTTTTAATAATCCAGAAATAATTACTTCTAATTAATCAATTTCAGCAAAATCAGCATTCCCAACTTTCATTCTTTCCAATAAATCAACTAACCATGATGTTCCTTCTCTACAAGGAGTACATTATCCACATGATTCATGTTTATAAAATTTACTTAATCTTAAAATGGCATCAATTATATCAGTTGATTTATCTATAACAATAACAGCAGCAGTTCCTAATCCTGATCTTACATCTCTTAATGCATCAAAATCCATTAATACAGTTTCACATATTTCTTTAGGTAACATAGGTACAGATGAACCTCCAGGAATAATACATTTAAGATTATCCCATCCTCCTCTAACACCTCCACAATGTCTTTCAATTAATTCTTTAAGTGGTATTGACATTTCTTCTTCAACAGTACAAGGATTGTTGACATGACCAGAAATACAAAATAATTTTGTGCCTCTATTATTTGGTCTTCCAAATGAAGCAAACCAATTTGCTCCTCTTCTAAGAATAGTTGGACAAACTGAAACAGTTTCAACATTAGTTACAGTAGTAGGACAACCCCATAAACCTGCATTTGCTGGGAAAGGTGGTTTAAGTCTTGGTTTACCGGGTTTTCCTTCTAAGGATTCAATTAAACCCTTAAGATTACTTTATATTATACTGTTTCTTCACCACAAATATATGCACCTGCTCCACTATGAACATAAACATCAAAATCATATCCACTTCCACAAGCATTCTTTCCCAAGAATCCCTTTTTATAAGCCTCATCAACTGCTTATTGTAAGGCATTAGCTTCAACCCAAAATTCTCCTCTACAATATATATATGCAGCTCTTGCTCTCATTGCAAATCCTACACATAATGCACCCTCAACTAATTTATGAGGATCATGTCTTAATATTTCTCTGTCTTTACATGTTCCTGGTTCAGATTCATCTGCATTTATCACCAAATAAGATGGTCTTTGAATATACTACTATATTTACCTTCCATCTGGATTAACTTTTGGCATAAATGAATACTTTAAACCACTAGGAAATCCTGCACCTCCTCTACCTCTTAAACCACTCTTTTTAATTTCATCAATAATCCAATCTTAACCCATTGTCAGTATATCTTTTGTTCTATGCCAATCTCCCTAAAATTAATTCATTATTATACTCTTTTCAAAGCACCTTGAATATAAGGATCTCCATCACGATAAACATTTGTAAATATTCTATCCTAATCTTTCAAACCACCGTGATAAAACTTTGGAGAAGATGTTAATCGTAAAAATAGATGAGATTATCTATTTATCATAATCTTTATATTTATTAAAAATAAACAATACTCTATTCTGGATAAAAAAAACTTATCATTATTCAATAATAATAATACACTTAATCTAATGAATCATATTATAGAAGTAATAAAATCCTTGTGAATTCAAAATATGGAATTTATTCTTCTATAAAAAAAGAAATACTTTTATTTAAATTGTTTCAATTAATCCTTAAGATGGAATAAGAAATTAGATATCTGAATTAATTTATATTCATTATAATTATTAAATTAAATACAAATATATCAATTACTAAATAATCTAAATCAATTTCATTTTTTTTTAACATAAAAAGTAGTTGATATTTCATATTATCCTGGACCTGGTATTTAAGTGTGATCTGAACAACTCTATGATCTCTTTTCTCTACCAAAGATTATACTCACATGTGGTTTTCTTTATTTTATATCTGTCTCATATTCACCTGGTCCCTAAGTTTATATATATATTAAATTTACTGGAACTGTTAATTTACTATAACTATCACGTTTTGCATGACCAAATATGACCGTCTTAGTATCCTTAAAATCTCCTATAGTATATGATTATGGCCCTGGACCAATTATATCTGATTTTTCTTTATATCTCTAATATATTGAGTATTTTGGTGCATTACTAGGCTTAACTAATTTATAATAGCCTGGACCTGGAATAGAATCTATCTTCTTATCAGATCTTTAACTTCTGCCTATTGAATATCCTGCTTATTCTTTTATAACCTCTATTGAATAATCACCAGGACCAGGTGAGATTGATTTATTAAATATTCCATCTCTCTTACTTGTTCCAATCTTAAAAGATTTTACTCTTTCTTATGATTAAATTTCATATGCATTTGGACCTGGAGTAATGTTCTATATAGTTTTTTCTCTTCTTGGAACTATTTTAAAACCAGCATCAGTTTTCATTAAAGAAGGAATATTATATTATCCTGGCCCTACATTATTATTTACTTTCTTCTCTGATCGAGACTACTTACCAACTTTAAAAGATAGCACATTAGATTTAGAGATTATTTCATAGTCTCCAGGTCCAGGACATCTTTTTTAATCTTCTTTATATCGTTTTTCACTTCCAATTTTAAATCCAATCTTTGATAGCTAAGAAACTTCTATTTTATAAGCTCCTGGTCCTGGTTTATTTGTCTATTCTTTATCAAACTAATATGACTTTCCATGTATGAGGGTTTTCTTTTATGTTTGTGGAAATTTAGGATGGTAATGTCCAGGTCCTGGAAGACTTTATTATACTGGAATTTCTCTAGAATTCCCTCCTCTAATAGTCCATTTTGGGGGTTTCGTAAATGAAGAATCTAATTGTGGATTATAACTAGCAGGTCCAGGAGGACCTTGATAAGATGAATTTAATTGATCTAATTTATACACAATAAATACTTCCTTTGATATTTCTAGATTGTGACATTGTTATATTATCTTTGTTTTATTGTCAGATAATTATATAAATTATTAAATTAAATCATAACCAATAAAAATTCTGAAATTTTGTCAGAAGTTGAATTTTATAAATTTCAAACTTCATCCTTGAAGAATTAAATCTAAGATTAATTTTCAAGAGACAACTTAAATAAAATATTATTTTAATTTTATATAAATTCTTAAGAATAAATAGAATCAGACAATTTACATAAAATAATAATATTAACTATTTTATGTAATATATGGTTAACGTAAATAATTTATTACTTTTTTACCAATTAATATAAATAATCAATAATCATTTTTCAAAAACTAGAAACTACATATGCCCTTTATGTTAAGGATAGATTTAAGACTTATAAGTTAGCTTAAATTTTTTAAAAATAATGTCAAAATTTGGCATTTTTCCTACTTTAAATTTGTCATCTAATTAACCAGAATATATAGTAACAATATAAAGATCAAGTAAATCTAGTACTTAATGTAAACATTATGGACCAACATCATAGTAAACTCTATCTTCTTATTTTATCAGAGTTCTAAAATATTATGCTGCATCATAGAAGTTTGAAAATGCTGGTACTATTTTATTATGAACTCCAAAATCTTCACTTTTTGATTCTTAAATATTTGGATTCGTTGTAATAAAATTAGTGTAATGAGGCTATTTAAAAAATGGATGTGTATGTATTTAAAGTGGAGATAGTTTTTTTGAAATTACAAAATTTTTTCTAATCAAATTTTCTTATTTTTTAATCTCTTAAAAGTCTTTTTTACTTCTATAAAATTCAGGCCACATAGTATCATCAAATTACATGATTTAATTTCCAGTTATAAATTCTGCATCACAAAATGTTTTTGTAAAGCTAAACATCTCAAAATCTATAGGAAATTTAGGAGTTTCTTCAACCATTTTGATTATCTAGGTATCTAATTCTTCTATAGGTGTATCTATTGGTTAATTTGTATGAACTAATGCAGTATAAATTTCTTTATGTCTTAATAAAACTTATAATCCACCTATTGTTTCATTTAATAAATTTAGAATCATAATTAAATTATTTTTACATTATAATTATTTAATGTATAATTTATAATTCAATTTTTCATTTCTAATAACATATGTTAATATTTACAATATAATTGTATAATTCTATTCTAAATCAATAGATATCTTCAATTTATATGATGTATTATGATTAAATTAATATAAAACAAAAGTATCATTTCATTTTTATTTATTATTCATATTTAGAAATGTATATTAACACAGCTTGGATGATTAATGGCACTCCTTGTTGGGTGTTCATTGAAGGCAATTATTAAAGAGGAAATATATAAAAATTGCTAAACTAAAGAAGTGAAGCTAGAATCCTATTGCCAGATGATAAAATTTGTGATATTCCTGTGAATTAAGTTCATAGAGCCAGTAATAACAAAACAATTGATTTAACAGAATTGCCTTATCTAAATGAACCTGAAATTCTATTTAAAATCAAAAATAACGTTTATCTTGATAGATAAGTTCTAATCTAAAGTGTCAATACATCTCTTTCTGATTATATTCAATATAAAAAATATATTGATGAAAGGTTGATTATTAATCAGGTACCTCCACATATATTCTCTTCTTTATTTTATGCATATATAAATTTAGATTTAGGAAAAAGTTCATAACTATTTATTACTGGAAATTAAGGATATGGAAAAACATAAATTATAAATGATCTTGTAAACTTCTTAAATAAGGATTATATGGTCTATTATAATTTAATTAAATCTTTAATCACTAAAAAAGATAATCATACTTAAGGAGTAGTAAATTATAGATTTATTTATAAATAAAAATAATTAGTTGGATTTATTGTTTAATTACATTACATTGATATCTCTGATTATGAGAATATGTAATATTTTTAATAAAAATGGGAGAATTTACCTAATTAAGAAATTTAAAAAGTATTAATTGAATAGTAAATTGAAAATGGTTAATAATACTAAAAGTTTGTATAGTAAATTATTGATATTATAAATGGTTTAACATGTTTAAATGATAATATATAGATGATTAGTATTTTAGATTATCCAGGATAGACTAATCTAATTTCTAATTATATATCAGAATAGATTGAGTAGATTTATCTTTAAAATACTTTTAAGAATTGTTAACAATTATTAATGTAAGATTAATTAACAGAATTATATAATTAAATATAATATGAAGATAATAAAAATTATTTGGAGAATCTAGAATAATAGAATGAAATACCTTAAAATTTAATTAAATTGAATAGTATCATAGTTTCAAAAGATATTCAATTATTATATATTAGATGTATTAAAGAAAGATAAGACTTAAAATAATATAGAATTCTTGATTCAATAAAATTTTATTAATAAAGTTATCCTCATAGAATGACTTATAATGAATTTTATTAAAGATTTCATCATTTAGATGTATTTAACAGAAAAATAACATTATAAAAGCATTTAAATAGTAATCAAGATATGAAGGCATTAGTAAGAGAAATATCTAAAAGGTTAATTTAATCAAAAGGACTTTTATTTGGATAGAATTAAGTCTATTTCAAAAAGGAAGCTTATGAAAATATTAATAAATTATTATGTTCACATAACAAGAAATTAAATGCATTTGCAAAAATAATTTAAAAAGCTTTTAGAGTAAGATAATTCAAAATGGCAATATTATCATGTGTTAAAAGAATTAAATCTATTGATTAGGGGAAAAATTAGAAATAAGATTCAAAATAACAATAAACAGAAAATTAAAATTAAAATATTAGCTAAGAAATTTAATGGGAAAATATGATAGAAATTTCTGATCTTGATTCTTATTAATTATTAAATGAAGAATAATTATAATAATATAAAAAGAAAAAAGTAAATCATTTATAATTAAAATAACAAAGTATGTTAGATGGAACAGTATATGAAGAGATCTAAAATACAGCATTTTAATTATTAAACTAAGAATAATAAATTTAAAGAGAAAATAATATAAAAAAGAATAAACTTGAATAACAATTGAAAGAACTTGATGCTATTGAAAATGAAGTTTCAGATCAAGAATCATTTTCTTTATTGACTTTTGAGTAAAAATTATAATATTTAAATTTGAAAAAGTAAGAATAAACATAAATTGCTTATAATTTATTAGATTAAAATTAATAACATTAAATAAAATAATAAAAAAGATTAAAGAAAATGAAAGATTTATAAGAGAAAATATATTCATAATTGGAACCATACTTGAGTGATATAGAGGCATATAAATAATTGACAACAGGATAGTAAAATGAATATAAAAGATAAAAATTAGAAAATAAATAAAATGTTGCTTAATCTTTATTAAATGAATAATAATAGATTAATAGAATACAAATTTTAATAAATTAAAGACCTAGATAAATGTAGAAAAAATAATTTTTAATTGATGATTATCTTTCTGATTATGAATCTTTTTAATTATTAGAATTAGAATAAAGAAAAAATTATGTTTAATAAAAATAAGAAAATTTACCTTTAAGAATAGTATAAAATAAAGTTAAATATGGATATGATATAGATATATCTGATCCTGAATCTTTTAATTTACTTGAAAATAAAGAAGAATATTTAAAATATAAAGAAAAACTTACTTTATTTAAAGATATATCTGATATTGAAGCATATTTATCTATATCTGATGTGAATAATTATATTAATCAAAAAAAAGAAGGATTAAATAATATTTCTAAAGAACTTGCAAATCCAGAAAAATATGAGATGTTAAAATAATAAAGATTTAGAGCATAATAAAGATTAGATCAATTGAATTTGATAAGACATGAACTCTTAGATTCAAATGCATTTCGACTTTTAAATGATGAATAATGGAATATTAGAAAATAATAGTTATTAGAATAAAAAGGTCATGAAGGAATGATTAATATTGAATCAATAGCATTCTAAAATTTATCAATAGAGAAAAAAAACTAAAGAAAAAATGCAGAATAGATGAAAAAGAAGAAGAAGAATATATTGAATCCTATTTTGTTTGAGAATTATTTACATCCCAAAGCAAGTGTGGCTTATAGGCTTTTATAAAATAAAAATACAGTATACAAAAATATTTCATTAGCTTATTCATTATTAAAGGATAAAAATGTTATGGATTAACATTTAAAAGAATTAATTATTTATCCATGGGAAGAAGTTAAAAGTTATAAAGATAAATAAGAACTATTATAATAAAAATAAAGTAGATATGAAAAGGATAAGTTAGAGTTTAATAAAGTTGATTTTTCTGATTATGAGGCATTTCTTCTTTTAGATGAAGATTAATTAAAGGAATATAAAAATGATGCTTATTCTTTATTAGATAATGAATAAAAGTAAATTCATAGAAGAATTATGAAATATAAATTAAAATCTGATTCTTAACATTCTGATCTGGAGTCATATGAATTGCTTAGTGATGATTCTAAATTGAAATATACTGAAATGAAGATTGATGAAATATCAGATTATTGTGCATATGAGGCATTAGAGAATAAAGAATAATATGTAATTGAAAAGTAGAATTAAAGGAAATATTTAAATCAAATTGAAGAAAATGGATTTAAAATATATTTTGGATAAACTCCGAAACTATTAACTATAGAGGAATATGATAAATTTATAAATAATTAATAATAGATTTAAAAATAAATAGAAGAAGAGGAAAATTAATATTTAAAATAATAATAAGAAGAAGAAAAGATAAAACATCAAAAATATGATATAAATAAATAATTTGTAATTTAAAATTTAATTGATAATCCTCATCCATCAAATTTTGTAATTTATGAAAAAGCATAATAAAATAAAAAATTGTTAGATATAAGATCTACTCTTGATAAAAATTTAAATTTAGAATATGATGATGAATTACCTTAAATATTGTAAAATAATTTATTTAAAGATTATTGTTAATAGGTAATTAATCAATAAGGACATTAAATTGAAAAAATTATGAAATGTCAAACTGATAATATTAAGAAACCTCTTACTAAAATATAAAATGAAAGTGTTGCTTTAAATGTTTTTAAAAGCATTACCAAATTTGCTCATATGAAACGATCAAGTCTAACTACAAAAGAACATTTAGAGAGAATATTATGTAGTTTAATTGGTACAACAGCATAAATTGAACTACCTACAGCTCCTAAGAGTTTATAAAGATCACTTGCTGTTGATATAGATGCATTAAAAAAATCAATAGAACTTGAAACAACTAGTAGATAATTTAATGATGAAGTTCAATTTGAAAATAATTAAGAAATTCGTGAAGAAATATTTTTATAAATATTCAAATAAATTGAGGGTAACACAAAAGAACATATTTATTATTTATTAAGATTATGCATAGTAATCACTCATTGTATACCATTAATACATCCATTACCTTTTATTTAATATCTAAATGAATAATTATAAAAACCAGAAAATAAACTTTTCAAAGAACCAGATATTTGTAAATATTCTAAATAAATAATTAAAAATTTATCTATAAATACTTAAGTTAAAGTATTTAAAAATGAAATAAAAACACAACTTTGTCAAAGGGTTTATTTGCCATCAAAAGATGAATTATAATTAATGTTTGAATGCAAACAACCAATAGTGAAATTGATGATTCATAGTGATACTCCATTATGGGTAGAATTAGAACATCATTTTAGTGTATAATAAGTAATTAAATAAGCTTGTAATGTTATCAATTAATAGAATAATTGGAAATATTTTGGATTAATGATTGTTTAATCTAAAAATGAAAGTGTTTTCAATACTTCATATATAGATGAATCTGCAAATTTTTTTGATATTTTAAATAAATTAGAATTTCATGAGGAAGTAAACAATAATGTTTATAAGCTTAATAAAAGATTTGATATTTATTTAAGAATTAAATAATATATTAAATTTGAAGAGAATGATTATGATTTATTAGATTTATATTTTTACCAATTAGCATTTGATGTGAAAAGAAATCGTTATAATTTAAAAGAGGATGAACTTTCAATATTATAAGAATTAGAAATATATATTAAATATGGAGGAAATTAAATTAATTCTAAATATAATTTGAAAGATAAAGTAGCTGCTAAGTATCAATTTATAAATATATAAATTTAGGTATTAATATCTGAAAATAATTGAATTATCATCAAATACAACTCTTGAGAATATTATCAAATGAATTTATAATTATATGATATGATTGATAATTTTATACAAAATTAAATTATATTGATTACTTTTTTATTTGATACAATTTATTAAATTTAAAATAAATAATTGACTTTCTCAATTTAAATAGCAAATTTTTTATAAACATAAAGGTTTAAAACTAATAAACTAAATATCAAATGATCAAAAATAGATAAACTATAATGGCAATAAATTGTTTATTTCTAAAGGTCTTTAATATAAATTACTTTTTTTAAATTCTTAATTCCAAAAACCTTTAACAAAAAAATATGATCTAATACTTTCTTTCAAATTGAGACATCTATTACTTTTTTTAATCTATTTAAATATAATAATAAAAGGTTTAATTATTACATTTCAACACAAGATAGCTTTTATATTACCTTTAATTAATATTAATAATTCTGATCATAAACTTGAATAATTATTAGAAATAATAAATAATATTTGAATTTTAAGATATATCAGAAATATATTGTGGATGATATCTTTTTATTAGCAATATTAATTTTTAATTTTTTAAGCCATATTCAACATATTTGGATGAATAAAAAACTTATTTTTTAACTATGTTGCTCTAAAGATAGAGAGAATCTATAGAAAGTAATATTTAAATAATAACTAATAATGTAGTAAGGATCTATTATTTCAATAATGTTATCATCAACAATTTTTTGTCTAAGAGGAGGAGGATCAATCTGTTCATCATAAGCTAAGCCTTAATAATCTAGTATAATAAATAAGATTCCTGATAAATTCTTTTCAAATATGAAACATTTTACAAATGTGATTGTTGAAAAGTCCATGCACTTCCATGATAGATTAAACAAAGATGAAATAATTTGTGCTTTTTTATGGTTTCATAATCATTAAGAATATCTATAAGGCCTTTGCAGATATGAAGAATCAAATTTATAATATTATGATGTTATTGAGAGTACATTTGAAATATTAGTGAAATAATTAATAATTTATTTGAAACTTTCAGGATATCTATTCCATTACTTGCTTTAGATTTGTAATAACTTACTTAGAGTGATCTTTTGTTATTAATAATAAAATAAAGAGAGATACATGTAGGTGGTTTTAAAAGATTAATTATTATCTTAAATATCAGAATTAGAAGAATAAATTAAAATAGAATCTAATAATATATGGATAAATGGAATAGAATTCGAGTTGTAAATGATCAAAATATGTCTTGTACATTGTAGAACTAATTCATAAATAGGATAGCAATTAGCTATTGGAATTTTATCTGGGATAGTCTCATCAATTTCTTAATTAAAACCAAGTTCTGAATTAATTGATTCTTTAGTTGAAGCTGGAAAGTATTTGTTGATTACTTTTTATGATAAGTAAATAAGGAATCCATTATAAATATATGAATTATACTATTTTTTTGAAAATCTTAAATGGACAATATTAAATTAATTGAAGTAAGGATACTCAGTTTAAAAAACTATTATTCAGTTGAATGAATCATATAATAATTATATAAAATAGTCATTAAATTGGATTGTGCATTTTTGTTGGATTAATTTAATTTCTAATTTAATTTCGTATAGATTTATAATTAGTAAAACATAACTACAAAATACACTAGATTAAATTTCAGGAGCATAAATTACACTCAATTCACTTATTGAATCAAATCATTTAATACTAATACCATATGATAAATCATTAGTGAAAGTTAAATTATTTGAAAATAAAGATTTAAATATTAAGAATTTTGTTTGTTTAAAATTGTTCTAAGAGTATTTATTAAGTGAATAATAAAAGAATATTAAATTATTACCAGAATATGTAAATTTTTAATTTGATACCTTATAAAATAATCCAAATAATCTATGGGATTTAAATATTAGTCTTATAACTAATGAAGACAATTTAGAAATACTCTCATCTTAAAATAATTAACTCAGAATCTGCAAAATCTAAATAAAATAGAATGTTGAGTAAATAGAAAATTAAGCATAATTAACTTATTCAAAAAGAGATTAAAATCAAGAATTAAAAATATGTCTATAAGATTTATAACATTTAATAAAATAATAAAAATAGTTAAATTTATAATTATTGTATCTTATTTATGAAATAGATATAATAAGAATAAAAGAAATTTCTATTCTTAAAGCATTAGAGTAAATTATGAAATGTAATTCTCAAAATATAAATAAAGATAAAAAAACATTTTAAATTCTAAAATCTGAAGATCTAGAAAAGGAATCAGAACTTAAATTTATATAAAATCTAAATAAAATTACACAGCTTTGGATAGTAATTTCAAAGATATTAAGCATATATTAAGAAGCTATTTCTGATGATATTAATAAATTGGATTTCAAAAAGAATTTAAATATCAATATTCTATAAGAATGTGAATAAATAATAAATACTATTTCAAATATAGAATAGTTTCTGAATGGATTTGTAATATAACTTAAAAATGCAAAAAGAAGTTTTCAAAAAATATTTGTATAAAATAAATTAAGTTAATAAATATAAGAGAAAATTTCTTAAAGAAAAATTTGGGATAATATTATCGAAATTTATAATTCTTTATTAATAAGAACCATAATATCAGAATTGAATCTTCATTATTCTTAAAATTGGAAGAAATAAAATTGGGCTTTTGAAATGCCTAAAGATTTAGGAAACAATTTAATTAGATGTATTGATATTGAAATACTGTTAAAAGGATTAAAAAATTTGATTAATATACACTAAAGAAAATTATATTTGCTTTAATTTGAAGATTTAAATAATATTTCAGACAATTTAGTATAAGTGGAAAATAATAGAGAAGATGATATAATATAAAACACTTTAATTTAAAATATTATAGTAGATCTTAAGTCTTAATTAAAGGGATATTTTGAAAAGTACTCCTAGATTGATGTTATAAAGAATGAATTTAAAGAATTAGATGATATTGAAAAATATATCAAATAAAATTTACTTGAAATTAAAAAAAAAAATTGGTCTGAAGATAAAAAAATATTAATCATCATCACTTTTTAAAAAGTCCTAAACAAATTAGCCTTAATAGGATTATGTTAGATAGATATATAAACAGTATAATAGGATATCCTTTAAATTTTGGATAATTATTTATAAAATAAAAATATTATAGATTAATCATAGATTTATATTACAAATGAGAGTAATAAATAAAAAGGATTCTAAGATTTAAGTATAAAAATAAAGAATAATAAATCTAAATAAGATGACTAATTTAATTTTGAAAAAGTGACTAATCAAATAAATGCAATACTTCTTAAAATAAAAAGAATAAAAAGAATAATTATTCAAAATAGAATATATTACAGTTACATTACTTTGGTATCAGATTAATTATTAAAATAAGTATCTATAGATGATATTACAGGAAATATGTCAGAATTAATTCCAGATGTATTAATGTCAATTTAAATCTTTTTAAGCTTTTTAATTGAATAATAATAAATTGTTTTCAATTCTGAGAAACTTTAATAAGCTTCAATTGATTTGAATATTGATTAATTGGTTGCTAATCTTATCCTTTTCAATAATCATTCTAGCCAATTAGATTAATCGTAATTGTAAAATGAAGATAAAAAGTGCGATAAAATATATTTAAAATTATTATCTAATTTAGAAAATACATCAACTTCCTTATAGAAAGAAGGTGGGTTTTTGAATATATTGGAAAATACATCATATAAAGTAAGGGAAGCATTAGCCTACAATCTTATTACAATGTAAGCTTAGGTTTAGGAGAAAAAGATTTAAGAATTTTGTATAAATTTAATAAAAAAAATTTGGATTTATGAAAAACATCCTAATGTAAGAAATTTATTAAAAAATAAAGAATTGATGGAATTATAAAAGAAAATGTTTTCTTCAGATATAATGACATTTTAAAATAGATTAAAATTAGATATTTAAATGATGCTCAAAAAAATTGCATAACTTGAAAATTCAGTTCTAACTGAAAATTCACCTTATATGAAAGATTAATTATAATAGGCAATAGATGAGTTTGAAATATATTTTGATAATATCACAGATATGTCTTAAAGATTAGATATTAATCTTATATTTTTAAAGGAAATAAGCAAAGATTTGAAAAATCTTAAAAGCTCAATTGATCTAGTATTAAAAAATGTTAATGGAATTGCAAATGATATTAGAAAATTAAGAGGTAAAAACTATTTTGAATTACTTCTTATTCGTAAAGATTAAATATTAAAATAAAAATAGGAAAATTAAGTAGATTAAGTACATATAGAATTGTAAACTTAAGAATATGATCCAATTACTGGAAATAAGATTTATAATAACTTAGGAGAATCAATCTCATTCTTATTAAAATATTAGTATGATAATTTTGAAGGTGAAGTAAATGAATTTTTGTGGAATAAATAGGAAAGAACAAAAGATGTTATGTTACTTAAAGGAAGGGCAGGTTCTGGAAAAAGCAGAGCTGCTATAAACATAGAAGAATTATTATGGAATTTTTATAAGATAGAACCTTAATGGATTCCTATTTATATATCATTACCTTCTGTCAAAGATCCAAAACACAATATTATTGAATAGGGATTAGAATCAGAGAATTATAATTTCGATAGTGTTTAAATAAGAGAATTTAAGGAAGCAGTTATAGCAGGTAATTTAAATATAGTTTTAATTCTTGAGAGTTATGATGAAATGAAATAAGATTGTTTAAAGTGTAATCTTTATACTTCAAATAGATTAATTTAAGATTTAAATCTTCAAGAACCTGGTTAAAATGTCAAAATTATAATTACAACTAGAGAGGAAATATTAACATCAATTGGATATTAAACTTGGTTTTATGGTAAGAGTTTAAATACATTAAAAGAAGTAGAATTATTGCCCTTTACATCATAATAAAGTTCTGAATATCTTTAACTCTATTAAGAGATTAGTGTAAAAAGATCAATTAAGAGATTTTATGAATTTTTAAAATAATTAAAAGGATAAAATTATTCCTTTATTTAATTTAATACCGTTTGGTGTTAATTACAAGAAACAGTATCAAAAATATTAATAAAAAATTAAGATTAACATATGTTGTTTACAAATTAAGACACAGAGAAAATTATATAAAAAATACAAAATGTTGAATTTTTCAATCTTTTTTAACATGATTTAATTAATTCATTAAGTAAAGATTTACTTTAGTTATGGGGAACATCAAAATTTCATTAAACTATTAATAATGTAAATATTGGTCATTTACTTAATACTCCTTTTATGTTAGAGATCATAGTTTATGTCCTCCCTAAAATGTCTTCAATATTTTCATAGGCTGGTTTCATGAGAGAAGTCTTATAAATAAACTATCATTTATTAAAAAAAGAATCACTAAAATCAACTAGTTTAATCTCAAAATATAAATAAAAAAAAGATTTAAAAGAAAATGAAGTAGAAATAAAAACTTAGAAGAATAATATTAAAGAATTTGATGATTAATATATTATTGAATTACTTAATTCTCTATTGGAAGATTTAGAAAGTCAAAACTTTTTTGAATAGCATTCTATAGCTTAACAATTACATCTAAATGGTAATTCAATTATAAGTTAAAACAAATAATTTAATGTGAAATTTGATGCTCAATTTATTGTTGGTGCCTTTAAATTGAATCAATTAACAGCTTTTGATTTTTATAATGTATTTGTAGAATTTTATCATGCTTAATAACTTTAAAAATGGAAGGATTTAGGAAAATCAATCAATCATGAAAGTTTTATTTTAGATTTAACAGAATTTTCAATGCATTTAGCTATTGATATGTCTATAAGATAACTAACTTAAGTTAATTATAAATAAAAAGGAAAATTAATTTTATAATAAATTAAAAATAATATTAATTTGTATAATTCATGGGAAGATTGTTATTTCAGTGAAAATGAATAAGATTCTGATTATAAATAATTGTTAAGAAAATGTATGTTAATAACTTCAAAAGGAAGTTAACACTCATTTAATCATAAATCTATTTAAGAATTTTTTGTTGCAGATTATATTCTTAAATTTTTAGAGAAATATTCTGAAAGTGATATCACAATTGATTGTTAAGTATTGTAACAAAGCATTTTTAACAAAAATGATTTTAATTTATCATCAGAACAATATTAAGGAACTTTAGAATTATTAAAACCAAAATTATAATAATTAGTTAATCTTAAATAAAAATTAATCAAATTAGTTCTATTAAGCTAAAATATATAATTATTTGAAAGAGCATCATCAAATGCTTTATATTTTTTGAGCTGTTTTGGAGAATATTTAGAAGATTTGAACTTGAATGGACTTCAAATTTCTAACACTAAACTAAATGGTTTAACTTTTTATAAATGTAATTTAAATAATACTTAATTTGATAATGTTTCTATTGATTCATGTAACTTTGCCTATTCTACAATAGAAAAAGCAAAATGGACAAATTTAATTTGTAAAGAGAAACCCTCTTTGACTGGCCATCAAAAATCTGTATAATCATTAATTTTCATAGATAATGGAGATTCATTGATAACGGGAAGTTTGGATGGGATCATAAATATTTGGTCTTTTACTAAGGATCAAAAACCATTAAGTAGATAATTTGATAATCAATAGATATTTTCTTTATCTTATTCAGAAATTCATAATATAATTGTCTGCCTAACTGATATTGAATTAACTTTCTTAAAAGGAAAAGACTTGACGACTATTGCTTATTAAACATTCATCAATTAAAACTATACAAGTATTTTAGTGTCTCCTGATTTGAATTATATTGCTGTAATAATATCTTATTAAGTATTATTTATAATGGAAACTAAATAATTAAGTGAAAAATAGAATCAAAACATAGACTATTCAATTAAAGTTGATTCCTAAATATAATGTATTGCTTTGTCATAAGATTAAAAATTACTTGCTATAAGTTGTTAGGACATTTAATTTTGGAATGTCTCAGATATCTCTAATTGTTACAAGCTATAAGATTTAAAAATAGAATAGAAAATGATAACTTAACTTTAATTCTCTTCAAATAATTAAATTTTTATTTTTTATGATGAAAATGATAAGGAAGTTCATTTTTGGAATATAAAAGATTTAAAAAGCATTGTTTGGATATAATCTATTAATTTTAGAGGATAAGTTAACTAAATAGAGTTCACTTTGAATAATCAATATGTTATATTAAGATCAAATTATTTTACAATTTATGATTTTATGAGATTAACAGAGTAATAAGAAACAATTTTAGTATAATCATCTATAAATATTAAAGAATTTGAAACTTCTAGAAATTTTGAAATATTAGCTTGTATATAAGAAAATATGAAATTAAGTTTAACAATTTATAATATGAAGGATATAAGAAATATTTAAAAGCTTAGTATATTAATAGAGAATCAAAATGAACTATCATTAATTAGATTTTCTGAGGATGGATTATATTTATTATGTTGTAAAAGGGATGAAATTTTATTATGGAATTTAAATAATTATAAATCATACAAAACATTAGTGACATCATAAGATAAAATAATTGATGTTGTTATTTCTTAAGATTAAAAAACATTGGTATCTTGTAGTTTAAGGAAAATAGTCATCATCTAAGATTTCTTTGAAATGACTTAATGGGATAAATTAAATATTATTGATTTAAGTTTTGATTTTAAAGGAGCTAGCTTTTACAAAATGAAAACTTTAGCTATATTAGGTGAAAATAAAGAAGGTTCTATTATATAATTTTTTGATTGTTAATCATCAATATTTTTAAATTAATTCTAAAGTATTGAAATTTTAGAAAAAGTATATTTTACAGATAACTAAACAATGATTACATTAGGTAAAACACTTCAAATATGGGGAAGTTATAGGGATGGTTATAAATTTGAAAATATTAAACAAAAAGAAGTTGAATTATAAATATATGGTTATAATTCAATATATTATCCAGAATTTAAGAATTTGTTAATCTATGATTCTAATACTATATACATATTGTCAATTTAATATTTACAATATCATAAAATCAAGATGTAAAAGTATTTAAGATAATTAAAATATTCTTTTATTTAAAAATTTTTAATATTTATTACAAATACTGGATTAGAAATACAATTAATAGATAATATTTTATCAACTAAAAAAATCTCTTGTTAAACCTCCTAAGATTTTTCAATTTCAAATAATTAAACAATGTTAGCATATACAATGGAATAAGAGGTAATTATAAGTGATCTAAGCATAAACAATAGTAAGAAAGATGTAAAAATAAAAAATATTAGTTTTTATAGTGATCAAAGAGTTTGTTTTGCAAAATAGGATTAAATCTTCATCATTTGTAAAAGAAATTAAGCATACTTATATGACATTTAAAATCTTGAATAAATTAAGCTAATTAGTAATGCTACAATAAATGATTTACCAACAAAAATTTTATTTTTAGAAAAGACTTAATAAATCATAGCATTTTACAAAAAATATATTACTCTCCAAAATATAGATAATTTAGAAGACTGTAAAATAATATAAAGATCATAATAAGATAATATATCTACTTATTTATTAACATTAAATAATAATTATTTTGGAATAAGTTATAATAATCAAATAATCAACTTTTTACCTTTATCATAATCAATTTAAGTGTAATTATTTCAAAAAGTTGGTACATTCAAGTACAAGGGTTTTGCACAATCTGAAAGTTTGATGATAGTGATAACTTCTGATTTAGAAATATTTAAAATAGATCCAAAAAATTTATTAATAGTTAAGATCGGAAGTTTAAAAGAATATGGAGAAATGTATCGCTTAGAATTAAATATCTAATAAACAAAACTATTATTAGCAATTAAAATTAAAGATAAGAATACAGAAAGATTAGAATTAATAGACTTTAAATCAATGAAAACAATTCAATGTTTGGAATAATATGATGCAAGTGTTCATTATTTTTAAAAAGCCTTTTTCTCTGAAGAAAGCTCTTATTTTGTTACAGCTTACTCAAATGTTACTATAAAATTATGGGATTTAAAAACATGCAAGCTTTTATCTACATTTAAAAGTAATACTGAAAGTATTGATTTAATTTCAATTTCAGGGAAAGGTATATTAGCTTAATCTGGAAAAGAAGTCATTAGACTTTGGAATTTGAATGCTTTAAGATAATAATAATTAGAATTTGATGGTCACTCAACTTCAATTATCTTAGTTACAATATCATCAGATGGTTTATAATTAGCTTCAGGTTCTGTTTTTGAGATTATTAGATGGGATTTGACTAATTTTTAAAAGATTGATGTTTTATTAAAGAGGACATAATTACCACCCAAGTTTTGTTACTCATAAGATTGCTAATACTTTGCAGCTATAGATGATTAAGGTAGCATAAGATTATGGAAAATAAATACAAAATATTTAGTTGAAAACAGTTATGTTATTTGTTATTATTAAAAAGCATATGATATTTAATTCAATGAAAAGTGTAATTCAATTATAGTTCTCTATAGTAATCATATTAAAATACAATGGGATTTATCATAAAGAAAATTACTTGAATAATCTAACATTGATACATATAATTAAATAAAATAAAGACCTTCAATTGATATAAATCATTTATTTACATATGATTCAAAGTATTTAGTAACCTTTAGTCCTATTAAAATGATAGATGTAACTAATGAAAAATAAAAATTCATTATAGAAGATACAATTCTTAACCAAAAAATTAAATTAATTGCAATTTCTCATAATAATCTAAAATTGGCTGTTCAAAATGAAGATTGTATTAATTTATGGTCTATTGAAGAAATGAAAATTCTTGCCTAATTAGCAAAAGGATTAGAAATCAGTTGTTGTTTAGCTTTTTCAATAAGTGATAAAGTTTTATTTTCATTAAATAAATAATTCATTGTCCAATTATGGGATGTAGATGGTCAATACATTATTATATCAGAAATTTCAATTGCTCCTAAAATAGATGATCCAATCTTTTCAGCATTCCTAGATAAAGCCATTTCATTTCCTTTGATTGAAGATAAATTTTTGGTTGTCTATTCTTTATTTATTGCATTCAATATCATTTAGTCAGATTATTTAAAAGCAAGTTATATTCCTGATAAAGAAAAAGTTTGGGATCTTAGTTTTGATTATTATGCAAAATATTTTTAATCTGCCTTTTCTGAATAAAAATAATTATTAGCTGTATAATGGATGAGAGAATTTAAAATATTTGATACAAAATCTATGAAACTGTTTGTAACTTTAGAACCAACTGTATTTGATAGTTCAAATTATACATCTTTATTATCTTTTTCTAAAAGTGGTAAATATCTTTTGTCATTAAATTTGGATTAAACTATAAATATATGGGATCTAACTTCTTTATAAACAATATAAAAATATGCAAATGTTAAATAAAACTTTATTGTTAAGGCTTTCACCTTTCTTGAAGATGAAGAAAACATTGTAATTTTAGGATTAGATAATCATATATATCATGATCATATTTCAAACTTCAATTTACAATATTCATTTTTAACTGAAGAAGTTTAAATTAAATTTCAATATATAATCAAAGATATAAATCAATATTAAATGAAATATTAAGAGAATGAACTCAATATTTTTGATAAAAAATCAGGAAATTAAATTTACACTCTCAATAAATTTAGCTCAAAATTAAATACAGCCTCATTCTCTCCATGCTGTAGAATCATAATATTAGGTATGAAGGACGGATCAATATTATTTTATAAAATAGACTAAGAAACATTGGCCAAATATGGATTCCCAACTTTATGTAAAAGCATAAATAGATTTCCATTATTAATGGCACCCTGTTCTAAGCTTTAAAATACATAATTGGAGTCAAAAGAATCCGAAAATTTGACTAGACTTTTTATTGAAAAAGGGGCAAATAACTCAATGATTTGAAAACATCTCACATTAAATTTAAAGTATATTTTATATAAAGAAAATAAAATTAAAAAAAAGTAATTAAGCCATATTTTTGTTATAAATTTCATTGAAAATTTTTTAAATATATTTTATATATATATTAATATTGAATGTTATATATTATTATCATAAAAAATTATCATTTTAAAAAGAAGTTTATTGATAATATTCTCAATCCATCTTCTATTTAGCTTCCATATTATAAATTTTATTAGTATGGTGTGCAATTAAAAATAAATTATTAGCAGCATTTTATTATATTTAAAAAGTTCCCCCAATCCTTTTTAAATAATATTTATGTATACTTTAAGATTCTTTTCCATCATTTTTTATTGTAAAATTATTCAAATTTAATCAAAATGAGACTTCTTTGAATCAAAATTATACAAAGTAATTCTAATAGTAATATTTTGATTAATTCTTTTATTTCATAATATATGAATGTCATTTTATAATCACAAAGTGAATGTGCTGGATGTGGGAAATAAAAGAGCAGTTGAGAAGTTTAGATTATTACCTTAGGATTTTAAATTATATGAAAATTATTAATCAAAAAGATTATCTAAGCGTGTTCAATCACTTTAGAAAAAAATTAAATAAAAAGTAATATTTATACAAAGAGACTTAAGTTTAAAAAGGTATAAAGGAGGATTCAAAATTAATCCTTGGTTAAATATCAAAACTCTAATCATGCTTGAGCAGAATAAATATAATTTATTTGATAGATATTAAATAAGGAAGTTAAGAGGGAAAGAGGAAAAATAATCCATTTATTGAGATTTCAGAATAAAATAAAATAAAATGTCTTTATTTATCAAAATCTTGATAAAAAATATCTATTGTAAAGTTATTCTTTTAATTATTTATACAATGAAAGATTTAATTAAAATCAAGATCAGATCAGATTAAAACACAAAAAAATGATGTCAAATCAATTAAATCCAGAGTATCATCAAAATACAAAAAATATTTATATTCAAGTATGTAGGGTAAAGAAAATATAATATTTCATTTAATTATTAATTTAAATAGAATTGAAAAAAAAAGTGAATAAAATTAGGAGAAAATAAAATAGGATTAAGTTAAAAAATATATTTATTAATAATACTTAATTATTATTCATTAATATTAATTATTTTAATAATGATATAAATCAATAAACTGTTACATAAATTTTAAAGTTACTTAATTGCACAAACTCTTTAGTCTTCAATAACTTTGATTTGCTTAGATTGAGTTTCACTTATTTCTGAAATCACAATTTATAGATTTATACATATATAATATTTAAAAATAAACTGACAATTATAAAAAGTATTTTCTTGTATTCGAAGATTAATCAAATAGGTTTCAATATAAGGAACATCAATAGATAGTATAGAAAGTATCTTAAAAAATTAATTTATGTATTAAAGTTTAGAAAATTTAAATAAAAGTTCTCAAAAATAGATTGAATCTTGTCCAAGTCTCTTTTAGAATATAATTATAAACAATTTACCTTGAAAATTAAATTAAGTTTTATAAAAATACAAGCGTACTCATACCTGTCTTATTTAAACTTGGTTTAGAGAAAACCATAATTTATATTTTTAATTAAATTGCCAATAAGGGTATTCATGTGTACTAAAACTTTTACCAGATCCTTGATCTACCTTACTTATATATAATCTAAATAAAAACATGAATATTGAGATTAACATTATAGCTCAATTATTATGAAGGAGAATACAGAAAATTCTTCATAAATATTAACTTTCAATAAGTTAAATCAATACAAAAAAGTGATATTTTTTCATAGTTATGAATAATGTATATACTCACAGTAATTGTTTATATTAAACTATTAGATTGAAATGAAAATTTGGAGGCTATTTAATTTTTTATTAATTTTATATAAGTTATTTATTATACCTGTTGATTTAATTGTATCTTTTTATTAAAACATTAAATTCATATAATACAAGATTGGTTTTGATGATATACGCTAGATTAAATTTTGCGAAATCTACTCAATTGAGAATATTAATTATACCTAACGATGAGAAACAGTGTTTAACAATTTGATGAATCTTGCAAAAGAATGAAAATTATCAAAACAGCATGGAGTACTAAAGAGGATAATTTACTCAAAAAAGGAATAAGAATGTGTGGAATGAATTGGATGGCAATTGCTGAATATGTACCTAATCGAAATCCAAATTAATGTGCCTAAAGATGGAAACGACTTTAAGGACAAAGGGTATTGAATTTAAATTAGATCTTAGAGTAGAATCAATCAATTTTGGAAACCTGAAGAAGATTAATAATTGTTAAATCTTATTTCATAATTCGGCAAGAAGTGGTCGAAAATTGCTGAAATGTTCAAAAATAGAAATAGTAAACAATGTAGAAATAGATTCATTAACACACTTGATCCAAATTTAAAATAAAATAGCTTCACTCAAGAAGAAGACTAATTAATTTATACAAAATACTTAGAATATGGTACTAGATGGTCATAAATATCTAAATTTTTAGTGGGTAGATCGGTAATAATAAAATTTATTTTAGAATAACTAAATAAAGAATAGGTTTTATAATAGCATAAGAAGCTAGTACCTTCAAATTTAGAACCCATATTATTCAAAATAATAATTATCTGAGCCTAAAGAGTTACTCGAAAAAACAAGAGAAGAACATCTCAGAATAATTCAAAATAATTATAAGGAAATGATAATCGAAGATCAAAATGATATGCAAACAAATGATCAAGATATATCTGGATGTATTAATGAATAAGATTACTCGAATCTTGATTAAGAATTTTATTCTAATAGGAATTTTGAATATTTGAGTATAAATTATGAAAATATTGAATGAACTAATAATTTAAATTTGAATTAATTATTATTTATAAAAATCATGCTCACAATAGTTTTCAGAGTGATTAAACATCAAAGTAAAAATTTCATTGATGACGAAATTAGTTTGATTANTTAACTTTCAATAAGTTAAATCAATACAAAAAAGTGATATTTTTTCATAGTTATGAATAATGTATATACTCACAGTAATTGTTTATATTAAACTATTAGATTGAAATGAAAATTTGGAGGCTATTTAATTTTTTATTAATTTTATATAAGTTATTTATTATACCTGTTGATTTAATTGTATCTTTTTATTAAAACATTAAATTCATATAATACAAGATTGGTTTTGATGATATACGCTAGATTAAATTTTGCGAAATCTACTCAATTGAGAATATTAATTATACCTAACGATGAGAAACAGTGTTTAACAATTTGATGAATCTTGCAAAAGAATGAAAATTATCAAAACAGCATGGAGTACTAAAGAGGATAATTTACTCAAAAAAGGAATAAGAATGTGTGGAATGAATTGGATGGCAATTGCTGAATATGTACCTAATCGAAATCCAAATTAATGTGCCTAAAGATGGAAACGACTTTAAGGACAAAGGGTATTGAATTTAAATTAGATCTTAGAGTAGAATCAATCAATTTTGGAAACCTGAAGAAGATTAATAATTGTTAAATCTTATTTCATAATTCGGCAAGAAGTGGTCGAAAATTGCTGAAATGTTCAAAAATAGAAATAGTAAACAATGTAGAAATAGATTCATTAACACACTTGATCCAAATTTAAAATAAAATAGCTTCACTCAAGAAGAAGACTAATTAATTTATACAAAATACTTAGAATATGGTACTAGATGGTCATAAATATCTAAATTTTTAGTGGGTAGATCGGTAATAATAAAATTTATTTTAGAATAACTAAATAAAGAATAGGTTTTATAATAGCATAAGAAGCTAGTACCTTCAAATTTAGAACCCATATTATTCAAAATAATAATTATCTGAGCCTAAAGAGTTACTCGAAAAAACAAGAGAAGAACATCTCAGAATAATTCAAAATAATTATAAGGAAATGATAATCGAAGATCAAAATGATATGCAAACAAATGATCAAGATATATCTGGATGTATTAATGAATAAGATTACTCGAATCTTGATTAAGAATTTTATTCTAATAGGAATTTTGAATATTTGAGTATAAATTATGAAAATATTGAATGAACTAATAATTTAAATTTGAATTAATTATTATTTATAAAAATCATGCTCACAATAGTTTTCAGAGTGATTAAACATCAAAGTAAAAATTTCATTGATGACGAAATTAGTTTGATTATTTATTTTTTTAAGTTAAGAAAAATTTAAGTTTCATTCATTTTTAATTATTATAGATTATCCACAAAATTATATATATATATAAATTGTAAAATAAAAAATCAATAATTGATCGAAGTTCTATTTTTTCATTTTAAATAATAACACTTTCTCAATTTATTAAAATATAAATTGAAACTTATATATTCGAACTATTATACCAAACTATAATCACTAAATATAAGTAATTTTAAAAAATATTGATCGAGTTGAGTCATAAACGCCAATCCAAAATGGCTTTCAAATGTCTTATAATAAAATATTTTTGTTCTCTTTTTGATAAAGTTATATAAATTTATTTTGTTCTTAAAGATCTGATTCACAATGAATTATAAATTATTCAGATTATGTCTTTATTTGCTTAAAGTAATTTTATCTAACACAAATAATATATCATTTTCTATGATAATTTAATCAAATAAATTATCTTTTTAATTATTTTAAAAAAGCTTTATTTATAGACAAAATAAAAAAAAGTAATCCTTGATGATTATAAAATGGTTGAAAGAAAAAGAAGAGAAAGGGAGGAATAAAGTTTTTGACAAAAAGTTCTATTAATCAATCAGCTTTATTTATTTTTCAGTAAGGGGATGAATAGTGTAGGGAATGGCCAGGAAATAAAGATATAAAAACAATTTGTTTTAACAAAATGATAAAATATAATTCTACATATTTTTTGTCATCATTCAAAAAGTAAATCTCATTTTATTCATATCAAACATATTACTAAAGGCTAAATATATAGATGAAAGTTATTTTCTAATCTACTTTCACTTAATCAGATATTTATTACAACTTTTCTTAGCCTAAATAAAGTATCACTATATCAGTTTAATTAGAAATGCTTTCAGTCATAGACTTTAACACAAAATAACTTGAAAACAATGATCAAAGAGTAATATTTATAAATTATCTAAATTATTCAATTTTTCAATATTTTGACAAAATAGTAGAAATAATTAATAGTAATAATATTGAACTTTCATTATTAAATATTTTGTATTTTTGACAAAGATTCTATATAAAGAAACCAATTTTTAATCTTTGATTATTCTAATTTATACTTTTATTCATTACAGATGATGAATTATATTTTCAATCATCTCAAGATTCAGATTAAATTTTCTTAGATGTTATGAGTTCAGAATTATCAAATAATTCTAAGCCTATTTAGTAAAATATTGTTGAGTTAGAAGGATTCTAATAAATAAGTGTAATTCATTATGAAAATAAACAAAATTGATATGAATTGTCTGATACTTAATAATAATCAATATGTGAATTTGTCTTCTATTAAACTTATTTATTTGATATTATATATATATTCTAAATCAAATATTCTTTAAAAAAATCCAAAAAAGAATATTTTTATTAAAAAAAATGAATTTAATATGTAAATATGACTTTTAACTTAATTTTAGGCACAGGCAGATATATGCAAAACTAATTATTTAAGGATGCGATTTATAATATTGGTATGCTACTTAGATTTAGTAGCCTTTTGAGATAAATTGAATAATAAAATGTCTAAAAGATTATGTGTAAAAATAAATAGAACAAAAAAGCACTAAATCTTTAAACATTTTGTAAGCTTAAGAAAAAAGTATCATTAAATAATAGAAGGGAAAATTAATAAAATGGACAATTTAATTAATCTTAATAGAATGAGATTGAAAATTCAATTTAATATTAAAATCAAGGTAATTTTAAACATGCATTATTTCGAAGCAATTGCTTTATAATATATAAATGATTTTGAAGAGGCATTACAATATTATGGATTAGATACTGAAATAAGCCCAAAAAATTCAGACTATTATAATCATAAAGGTATAAATTATTAAATTCATACATTTTTAAGCAATAAGTTTATAACAGATGAATAGATTTATAGAAGCATTAGATTGTTATGATTAGGCAATTCAGTTGGATCCAGAAATTCCAATATTTAAATTCAACAAAGGTATAATTATTATAATAATCTATCTTAGCGAATGCTTTATATCTAATGAAAAAATATGAAGAAGCATTAAAATTTTATGATGAAGCAATTGAATTATATGAAGATTCAAGATATTTCATTAACAAAGGTAAAAGAAATAAATTATTATTCTTTTTTTAGCAAATACATTAAAAGAAATGAAAAGATATGAAGATGCATTAATATGTTTTGATAAAGCAATTGAGTAAGATCCAGAAAATATAGATTCTATATGTTGTAAAGGTTAAAATATATAATTATGCTATTTTAGCAAATACATTATGTGAAATGAAAAGATTTGAAGAGGCATTAAAATATTATGACCAAGCAATTAAGAAAAATCCAGAAGATTCAATCTATTTCTTCAACAAAGGTAGAATAAAAATAATCTTTCTTTTTAGCAAATGCCTTATAATCAATGAATAGATTTGAAGAATCATTAGATTATTTTGATAAGGCGATTGAAAAAGAAAAAGAAGATTCAAGATATTTCAATTGCAAAGGTTTAAAATTATTTATTAAACATAAGGAGTTACTTTATATCATATGAGTAGATTTGAGGATGCATTAATATGTTTTGATCAAGCAATTAAGAAAAACCCATTGGATTCAAGATAATATGCAAACAAAGGTATAAGGTTACAATTAAATTATCTCAGCAAGTGCCTTAAAATAAATGAAAAGATATGTAGAAGCATTAGATAATATAGATAATGCAATTAAGTATAACCCAGAAGATATAGAAATATTATGTTATAAAGGTAATTGATAGTATTTCTCAAACTTAGCTAATATCTTAAGAGAGATGAAAAAATTTGAAGAAGCAATAGAATGTTTTGATTATGCAATTTAATAAAATTCAGATGATTCAAGACATTTTAATAGTAAAGGTAGAAATGTTTTATTTCTTAGCAATCATCTTAAATGAAATAAAAAGATATGAAGATGCATTAGAATTTTATGATTATGCAATTTAGAAAAACCCTGAGGAGCCTAACTATTTCTTTAACAAAGGTATGAAATAGACTCAATTATTTAATTTAGCAAATAATTTAGCTGATATGAAAAGATATGATGATGCATTGGAATATTATGATTATGCAATTTAAAGAAACCCTTAAGATGCAAGATACTATATAAATAAAGGTAAAAAATTATTTTAGTTTTAGCAAATATTTTAAAACTATTGAAGAGATATGAAGACGCATTAAAATAATACGATTAGGCAATTTAAAATAATCCCGAGGATCCAATTTATTTCTATCACAAAGGTATAAAAATAGTTATGTTTAGCAAATACATTAACTGAAATGAAAAGATTTAATGATGCAATGAAATATTACGATTATGCAATCAAAAGAAACCCTGATGACGCAAGATACTATGTAGAAAAAGGTAAAAAAAGTATTTTAGTTTTAGCAAATATATTAAAACTATAGAAGAAATATGAAGACTCATTAAAATTCTATGATCTTGCAATTTAAAATAATCCTGAGAACCCAATTTATTTTTATCACAAAGGTATAAAAGTAGTTATTCTGTTTAGCAAATACATTAGCTGATATGAAAAGATATGATGATGCATTGGAATATTACGATTATGCAATAAAAAGAAACCCTGATGATCCATCTTACTACTTTAATAAATGTATGGAAAAAAATTTTTACTTTTATAGCAAAGATCTTAAGTGAAATTTATTAACATGAAGAAGCATTAAAACATTTAGATCTTGCAATTTTGAAAAACCCATAAGATCGAAATTATTTACTTCATAAAGGTATAAAAGAAAAGTTTATAATTTCTTAGCTAATACCTTATCTAATATGAGAAGATATGTAGAAGCTTTAGAATGTATTGAAAATGCAATTTAAAAAAACCCTTAGGATTCAATTTATTACTTAAATAAAGGTATGAATTAAATAAAATACTTTTTCAGCAAATATTTTAAGTTAAATGAACAATTTATAAGAAGCCTTAAAATACTATGATATTGCAATATCAAAAAATCCAGATGATTCACAATATTACAATTATAAAGGTATAAAAATTACATTATTTTTAGCAATTAACTTAGAAAAGATGAAAAGATATGAAGAAGCTTTACGATATTTTGATAATGCGATTTAGAAAAACCCTGAAAATGCTAATTATTTAATTAACAAAGGTATTAACAGATAAATACTATTTATTAGCAAATACCTTATTTGAAATGAAAAGATATGAAGAAGCATTAAAATATTATAATTAAGGGATTGAAAAAAACTCTGAAAATTCAAATTATTTAGTTAACAAAGGTATTAACAAATAAATTATTATTTTTTAGCAAATACCTTATTTCAAATGAAAAGATATGAAGAAGCATTAAAATATTATAATTAGGGGATTGAATAAAATCCAAAAGATTCCACGTTTTATTATAACAAAGGTATAAATCAAACAATTATTCTTTCTCAGCAAATTGCTTATTTGAAATCAAAAGATACGAAGAAGCATTAAAATATTTTGATTATGCTATACAAAAAATCCCTGAAGAATCGGGATATTTCGGTAACAAAGGTAGATTAAAAATAATTATTATCCCTAGCATTAACTTTAATTGAATTGAAAAGATTTGATGAAGCATTAAAAAATTTTGATTTAGCAATTTAGTTTGATCCTGAAAATCCAAAAAATTTCTTTGATAAAGGTATTTGGAAAAATTTCTTATTTAGCAAACCTTCTAAAGTAAATGAAACGCTTTTAAGAGGCATTAAAATATTATGAATTTGCAATTTAGAAAAACCCAAAAGATTCAGCCTTCTATTTTTGCAAAGGTATAAAATTAACAATTAATATTTCCCAGCATTAACTTTATTTGAAATGAAAAGATTTGAAGAAGCTTTAAAATATTTTGATTTTGCAATTGAAAAAAACTCAGAGAATTCCACTTATTATTTTAACAAAGGTATTAAAGAAAAAAAATTACTTTAGCAATTACCTTAAATGAAATGAAAAGAAATGTAGAGGCATTAAAATATTTTGATTTGGCTATTTAGAAGAACCCATAAGATTTTAAATGTTTGTTTCACAAAGGTATAAAAGATGAACTAATTTATTCAAGGAAAAACATTACTTGAAATGTTAAGATTTAAAGAAGCAATTGAATGCCTTGATTATGCATTTTCGAAAACCCCATAAGATTCCGATTATTCCCAAAGTTCAGGTATGCAAGATACAATATTATATAGAGTTTGCAAATTTTAAAGAACTTTTTAAGAACATTAAATAGTATTAAAAATAATTCAAAAAATGATGAAACTATTCTTATTAAATAATTGATAATAATAATAAAATTATGAAAAATTATACTTTTTGAAATTTCTTGAATAGCTAAGTTTCAACTGATGTTATTTTATTTGAGATTTATGTTATAACCGCTATTTGAGCTAAACTTGTAATTGTTGTGGCTTTTTGTGCTTTGAAGAGGGTAACTTTGTATAACAAGAATTCCATTATATTTCTGTTATTATATAAGGAAACCTTTCACAAAGAGGATATTGAAACCTCTATCCTTGAATTTTTAGACCTCGCTAAACACCCTTTGAAGTATTGTGTATTTTTTTCAGAGATAAGAAAATTCCATGAAATTCTCTACAAAAATTTTAGAATTCCAAAAATGTAGCTGATTGATTTATCAAACTGCTATAGAAACTTAAGTTAGAGCACTAATTCATAGTCCTTTTTATGAAGTTCTCCATATAATGGATACTTAGTTAGATCAATTTTATATATTTATAGGAATCACAATTTGAAGTTTTAGGCATTTTTGCCCACTATGAGAGGCACGAAATGTGAATTTCGTTATTGAAGATTTTATCCAAAAAAAGATATCAGCAAAGCAAAAGAGTTAAATAAAATTAAAATTAAAATTCAGAATGAAAATTTATTTTCTCCTACTTCTTTGATACTATTTTATAGAGAAATAATTTTGGTTTTGTGTTTAATTTGAGCTTTTTCTATTGCCAAACTCTCTTAAAATAACAGAATTAAAAAAATTAAATAAGAATTCAAATTGGATTATGGAGCAGAAGTTCCTATTTTAGATTTAATTATTAAAGAGTAAATGGAAGCTGGAAATCCTATTAGTTTAATTTTCTAAACGAATTTGCTTCCTAATTTAATTCCAATTAAAATGCATTTTATATTTGGACATTATTGCAAATTTCTAATTAAATTTTTAAAGAAATGAAAGTTGTAAATCATTTTTGGTCGATGTAATTGTTAGATGTTTTGGATTTAATTTTGATTGTTGTATTAGATGAAGCAACAGCCAATTAAGATTTAAAAACAGATCATTTTATTTAAGGAATAAAAAAAAATAACTAAAAGATTGTATAACAATAACCATAGCTCATCGAATGAATAAAATAGCAGATTATGATAAAGTTAAGGCCATTTTTGATGGAAAAGCTATTGAATATGATAAACAATTTAATCTGTTTACAAAATCTCTTTTTTCAACTTTTATGATAGAAATTCATGAATTCAAGGCTTGTTAAGAATACTAGTAATTCAAATGCCTTAGCTATTTTTGATATTTCTAAAAACAATTAAGTATAATAGAACATTGATCTTATTTTTATTTATTTTTATTATTAATTTTATAATTTTTTTAATAATAATATTAATACTTAATTATTTATTTAATTATAATAGGTAATTTCTTTCAATAAATTTAGACTGAAATAGTTTACTTGATTTAGTGCAACAATAAATCTTAAGACTTACATAAATAAAATAAAAATAATAATTATTTGATTCTTAACAAAAAAAGAAATATCTGTTTAGTAATAAAAAAATAATCTGTTTATTAAGACAACAATTAAAATTAATTAGGGGAAATTTAATAATTTATGCCATAAAATATTAATAATTGAGTTGGATGATTTTTAGAAAAAGCATTAAATTATTAAATGAAAAATAACAAAAAAATATTAATTTTTTTTTATAAATAATTTTCTATAATTAATTTTAAAGAATTATAAATAAACTAATAAAATTTTTGAATCAATATTTTATTAATTTTTATTTTAACAACAATTATTATCTTTTATATCTTTTGATCAATTTAGGCACAATTTTCTTTATTTTTGAAAAAAAAGGTAATGCAAATAAAAGTATTCAAAAATAAACCGACCAATATAAAAAAAGTTTTCTTGTATTGGAATAAAAAAAAAATGAACATTAAATTAAGGATTATCTAATTTTTGTGAATTAAATATTTAACTAATAAATTCCAAGAGCCAGGCTTATAATTTTTTAAATTACAAATTTTTAAATGTAAAAATCTATTACTTATAATTATTTACAATTTAATCATTAGCCACTTGCTATTAAATATCATTTTAGGAAAATCCATCAAGCTATTATAAATCTTATTTGATGTTTTACCATCAATAATTTTCTATTTATATTAATTATAAAATAACTGTTTTTCTAAAAATTGCATGAAATATGGAGAATACCTTAATTTCAAGTAAAATATAATTATAAATTATCCTTACACTTGCCAAAAAATGAGAAAGAATTTTTTGTAATTCTCATCAAAATCTTTTTGTTTTTATTAAAATTGTTAACAAGATAATTTAGAAGAGGTATTTATAATTATTATGAAAGACCAGCTCTAAAGTTGAGAAATTTACATTATAAGCAAAACATCAGGTTCTAAATTATATTTAGATAGTTGTATATAATGAATATTAAGATAAATGTATTGGAGAAATAAAATATATTAGTTTTAATTAATAATTACAAATTAGTATCTTATTATCAAAACAATGAGTTCATATAATTTAAGATTGATTTGATGATAAACGCAAGCTTAAATTTTTTCGAATCCAAATAAATAAGATTATTATTTATACCTAACGATGAACCAGAGAGTAGGATAATAAGATGAATCTTGCATAAAGAAAAAAATAATCAAATCAACATGGAATACTAAAGAAGATAATTTACTCAAAAAAGGAATCTAAATTTGTGGGATTAATTGGATAGCAATAGCTCAATACTTACCTAATAGAAATCCTAATTAATGCGCACAAAGATGGAAAAGACTTTAAGGAAATAGGGTGTTTTATTTGATTTATATATTAGAGTAGAACCAATCAATTTTGGTCACCAGAAGAAGATGTCATGCTTTTATAGCTTATTTCCTAATTTGGAAAATAGTGGTCGAAGATAGCTAAGATTTTCTAAAACAGGAGCGGCAAACAATGTAGAAATAGATTCGTTAATACACTTGATCCAAAATTAAAATAACATAGCTTCACTCAAGAAGAAGATTAACTAATATATGAATATTACTTAGAATTTGGTCCTAAGTGGTCGTAGATATCTAAATTTATCGAGGGTAGATCGGTACTTTAACTATTTATTTAAGGATAACTAAATAAAGAATAGATTCTATAATCATATTAGGACTGAGTACCTTTAAATTTAAAACCCATATTATACAAAATAAACACATTAAAAGCCAAAAGAATCCCTAATTGAAGTAAGAGAAGAGCATCTAAGATAATATAGAAGTCTGAAAAAGTTAGAAAAAATGGAAGATCAGAATGACCATTAAACAAAGGAGGAAGATTTATTTATGTATACAAATGAAGAAAATTGCTCTGATCTTGATTTAGAAATGTATTCTAATATTGGCTTTTAAAATATGAGATATAAAAAAAACTTATGATTTTCAAAAATTAATTTTCTTAATGATGAATTTATTTAATAAATTATTATTAAATCATACCCAAATATTTATCATAGCCACTTTAAATCGAGATACTTAATGAGGATTCAATTATTGCTTTAAGTTAAGTTGTAGAAGAAAGAAATTGTGTTTATTGCTATCGATTATTTAAAAAAAAAAATTGTTGGAAGCAAATAATTTTTAATTAATCTACAATTTTAAAGTAAAAACTCTTTTTAATAAAATAATTATATTATTCTTTTTTTTACATCCCATCTTCTAATATCTTTAAATCATTATCCATTTCAAAAATTCAAATTACTTACATAAATATTTTATTTTCATCTATCTTCCTATTTAAATAAAATTATCTAAAATATAATTAAGAGAATTATTTTTACAATTAATAACAATTATTTAAATTTAAGGCTATATACTTAAGCGAATGTAATAGTTGCTAAATTGGAAAATTGATATGCTTCCCCAAATTAGTTGTATTCTAAAAAGAAGATTAAAGTATTAATATAAACAATAAAATTATTATAAATTTTATTATTAGGGTTTCTTGCTTATTAAATTGTTAAATTTTTAATAAATACTAAAGTATTATAAGTAAATGTTTAGAAGGTATTCTAATAACCTAGCTTAAACGTGGTAAGATTGTCAAGGACCATATGTATATCCATTTGCTTCATATTTTTTAATTAGTACTATAATAATAGGCTATTTGAATACCAGTAAATTAATGAAAATAATTCATATGATTTTATCTATATAATAATAATATCTGAGCCCTTCTAATTTACTCTGAATTATCTGATTTATTTTTTTTGCTTCTAAATATAGTTATTCTTTAACTTATGAATTTACATTTTTTTAATGATTCATCATTGAACTAATTTGAGTTTTTATTATGATTTGTTTGAGTTTATTAAGATTCTAAGTTAGTTAATCTAACTCATATATTTTATTATCATTTTAACAATATTAATTGTTTTATAAATTTTCTAGTATATAATTATAAATCTGGATTGATTTTAATTATCAGGTGCTGATTGATCAGAAAAACCTTGTTAAATATGTAATTAAGTGAAAAGTGATTTATAATTCTTATTGATAGAAATTAATATTATGCTTGATATTTAATTTAATCAATCAAATTTCTTTTTATTGATTGATCTTATTTATATATTAAATATTAAATAAATAAAATGGATTAATTTATATTATGAAATTTCAAGATATTTATTGTGATTGAATTATCTAGTTAAATAATTAATAAAAAATTATTTTTTAAATATTAAATTTATCATTAATTAAATATATTCATCTATGGTTTGACTTCATAAAAATATTATTTGGATCGAAATATGAGATTATTTAATCAATAATAATATTTTAATAACTTAGAGAGTATGTTATGAAAATTATAATTCTGTAACTGTTTTAATTTAATATTACTTAAATTTATCATTTCAATAAAATTCTCAGGCCCAATTATAAAAGGTTATTATTAAATTGAATAGAGATTAAAGCTTATTTTCAAACTCAGAACACTTAATGAATTTGAAATTTTTGAAGGTTCTTTAATGTCTTCATTAAAGTTAGAATGAGCTCAAAATAATATATTTAAATTATTCAGATTGTTTATAAATTATTTAAAGTTCTTATTATTTGATAATAATCATTTATTTTAACAGAAGCTTTCGTTTTTATTAATATTTTATTTTAAATTGAGTACTTAATAAGAAATCCTTCATAGTATGAATACATAGCAATTTTCAATAATAAAGATGATCTTTTTATTTTAATCTATAATCAACTTTCCATTAAACACCTATTAAAAATCTCAATCAAATTTTTCACATACTTAACAATTCTCTAAATTATTTATTTTTACACATAGCCAAGTTTTTTTCTTTTTTCATAGGTTTAAAATTTTTATAAAGTTCGCCAAAAAAAAACTGTTCATAAAATTATTCTAACATAATCAGAACTAGTCAATACCACATATAATTGCATTTTATTAGTATTTAATGTGGTATATAAGAATTTTGATAAAGTTCACCTCAATCATAATTTTGAGCATAAAACAAATCATTTTGATAATCTAAAGTGTATGCTTTTTTTGAAAATATCAATAGTATCTTATTTTTGATCATAAATTTATTGTCAGAGGAATAAGTATATAGGATTATTTTTGATTCCATCTGAAAGTTGATTCACTATTTTTGTTACAAATTCTAAGGATAACTGGCAAAATCATTTGAAGTATTAATTAAGTTCCCATTTTATCATATTTCATTAAATTTAACTTATGGAGGTTGTTTAATAATAGCAATAGTATTATGAAATTACTTAAATTGAATATTTATGATAACCTAAAGCTTCAGACATCATTAAATAAAAATTAGGATAATTTCCAGATTAAATTTTGAGAGATGAGTGTGTTTCTCTGCAATTTATATTTGTAAATTATCTAATTCTCAGATGCCATATTAGAATATTAATAGTTTATTCAGAAATACTATATTTTGTTATTATTTTTCCTTTATTATTTTTTGTAGAATTATTATTTTCTTTAACATAAACAACTAATTTTTAAGGATTTTTTTATCAGTTTGGATTAAAATTTATGAAACTCTAATATTTGAGGATGAATTTGATTATAAATTCATTAAACTATCTGGGAATTTTATTAAATAGTAATTAATAGGTGAAAATTTGTTGACTTTCACATTAACTTATAAGATAGGTTAAAATGGAAACTAGATTGTTTAAGATGGTATTATTATTATTATTTCTCTAGTCCCTTTACCATAAATGATATTGTCATCACATGTCTATAAAATACTAATGATTGGAAAATATTTTCTGTTGTTAAACTTCATTATATACAGATAATGAAGGTATTATTTATAAAAAACAAGAGATATTAATATGTTTCGAATTTCCTCTACCTGATGAATCATAATTAGATATTTGTCTTTTTGGTTGTGATAATGAAGTTATAGGATTATAGTATATTTGAATAAAATCAAGAATGATTTTGAGGGAATTATTTAATTAAAAAAAAAATAGATTAAAATTAATTAATTAAATTGAAAATTAATAAAATATTAAAGAAAATTAAAAAAAAAAAAATTTTCCCTAGTGTTCCACCAATTCCATCTACTGGCCTAATTATTCCTCATTTAATTTGTAGTGCTCCAAACTTTATCAATTTTTTATAAAAATGTACTTCTTGTCCTATAAAATAATGTTTATATTGCTTTAGTTATTTTGCAACTGATTTATCAAAAACAACTCAAGATTAGAATTTTAATTACTCCATTATTGGTGAAGTAATTACAACAGGATGGGCTTAATGTTTAAATGGTTGTATTAATAAATTTGAATTAGAATAATGCATTTTTAAGAGTCTTTCAAATCCAAATTGTCTCAGATCTTATTTTTAATAAGATGGATAAGAAATTTGTACTCTATCTGCAATAATTGATTTTAACATAGCTCCAGCAATTATAAATTATTAACAACTCATTTGAAATTGAAAATACTATTTCTAAAAACAACAGATTTGATATTAAAATGTTAGATTTGTGAAGATGATTATGTTGCATAATCAAGTATAAGTATTTGCTTTGTATGTAACAATCAAAATTCAAAAATTTGCCTTGAATTAAATTCTAAAAAATAAGATATTTGGAAATCTTTAGAATTTTAAAAATTTTAAAGTTTTCAAAAAACAAAATTTTTAGAATGATTCAGCTATAGTAAGAAATACTATTTTTCCAATTGAATGTAAAGATGGATGTTCAATTTGCAAGAAAAATTTTGGAAAATCGAATTATTTTCATATTAAAAATTGATATTAACTACTACAAAATACCTACTAGAGTCCAGATTACAAAGTTAGGATTTACGAGAAAGTTTTAAGATATATAATTTGTAAATTAAATAATACATCTTTTGTTGTTTTTCTCATATTTGAGTAGGAAAATTATTATTGATAATCTTATAAATAAGTTTTGTTAATTTTATACTTCATAAGTTATCTAATCAAATATTAACTTAAATAATTTTGCATATATATATTACTATCAATAATGTCGATATTCAGAACTCTTATTTTTTAGAGTCAAGATTTATATATAGTTATGGAAATTCTGATATAAAAATAACAAAATTTTAACTTATTAATTGTTAAATTAGTGCTTCAAGATTTATTTCTTTTAGTAAGGACTTTTACTTTAATGATATTTTATTGGAGGATAATCTGATTTAAGAAACTTAATTAATTGATAATTTAATTATAATCAAATGAAAGAAATTCTATAATTGGAATTGAAAATTTTATGATTTTAAAGAATAAAATNTTCCACCAATTCCATCTACTGGCCTAATTATTCCTCATTTAATTTGTAGTGCTCCAAACTTTATCAATTTTTTATAAAAATGTACTTCTTGTCCTATAAAATAATGTTTATATTGCTTTAGTTATTTTGCAACTGATTTATCAAAAACAACTCAAGATTAGAATTTTAATTACTCCATTATTGGTGAAGTAATTACAACAGGATGGGCTTAATGTTTAAATGGTTGTATTAATAAATTTGAATTAGAATAATGCATTTTTAAGAGTCTTTCAAATCCAAATTGTCTCAGATCTTATTTTTAATAAGATGGATAAGAAATTTGTACTCTATCTGCAATAATTGATTTTAACATAGCTCCAGCAATTATAAATTATTAACAACTCATTTGAAATTGAAAATACTATTTCTAAAAACAACAGATTTGATATTAAAATGTTAGATTTGTGAAGATGATTATGTTGCATAATCAAGTATAAGTATTTGCTTTGTATGTAACAATCAAAATTCAAAAATTTGCCTTGAATTAAATTCTAAAAAATAAGATATTTGGAAATCTTTAGAATTTTAAAAATTTTAAAGTTTTCAAAAAACAAAATTTTTAGAATGATTCAGCTATAGTAAGAAATACTATTTTTCCAATTGAATGTAAAGATGGATGTTCAATTTGCAAGAAAAATTTTGGAAAATCGAATTATTTTCATATTAAAAATTGATATTAACTACTACAAAATACCTACTAGAGTCCAGATTACAAAGTTAGGATTTACGAGAAAGTTTTAAGATATATAATTTGTAAATTAAATAATACATCTTTTGTTGTTTTTCTCATATTTGAGTAGGAAAATTATTATTGATAATCTTATAAATAAGTTTTGTTAATTTTATACTTCATAAGTTATCTAATCAAATATTAACTTAAATAATTTTGCATATATATATTACTATCAATAATGTCGATATTCAGAACTCTTATTTTTTAGAGTCAAGATTTATATATAGTTATGGAAATTCTGATATAAAAATAACAAAATTTTAACTTATTAATTGTTAAATTAGTGCTTCAAGATTTATTTCTTTTAGTAAGGACTTTTACTTTAATGATATTTTATTGGAGGATAATCTGATTTAAGAAACTTAATTAATTGATAATTTAATTATAATCAAATGAAAGAAATTCTATAATTGGAATTGAAAATTTTATGATTTTAAAGAATAAAATTATAAACTCTGCAGTTGTCATTACTGGATAAAGTTTAGAGTAAAATGAAGTTTATTTTAATTTTAGAATTTTAAATTAAAACGAAAAAGTTGCTTTTAAATTTGATTGCTACCAAAGTAGTGCAATAAAATCATAATTATTATCAGTTTAAGAGTTTTAGAGAATTAGTTTGGATTAAATAAAAATAGTAAATTAATTGAGGATAGATTTATCAATTATTTCAATACAATCTAATTCTAAAATTATGTTAAATACCAATGATTATGTAATCATACATAATATGTCTTTTATTGGAAATATACTTCTTAAATAAAGTTAAACTATGTATTTTTCCTTAATTGATATCTATTCAGAAATAACTTAAATTGTTACTTTAGAAATTATCATCTATTATTATAATATTTTTGACTAATACTAAATTGATCCATCTTAAAATTCTGCTAGTCTAATGTAAATTAATGCAGGCTAAAGTAATTTATCATTGAAAAATATCATTAGTTCTCACAATGTCTTAACCAACTCTTTATATACTTTTATCTCTATTTCTATACATGAACTTTATATATAAAACTTTTAAATAATAAATCATATTTACTTAAATGCTGACTTATGGAATTAATATTATTAACTATAAATTTAGAGTGAACCTACATAGAGCCAAATTATTTCTATAATTAATAATATATTTAAAATAGAATCATTAAGTGGAGTTCTATTAATTAAAACATCGAAATTGAACTTTATTAATGGGTTTTTCAGTAATATAATCGCATCAAGTAGTTTAATTTTCAATATTAATCTCTAAGGTGATGGAATTGTTATTATAAAAAATTGCTATATTGAAAATGATTAAAGTTAATTGATTTTAACATCTTAAGATGATGAAGCAATTACTTTTGATGCTAAAAAAAAGCCTATTATCACTTGTAATTGAAAATTTAAACTTAAAATACATATAAAATAGAATATCATCATCTATATTTTCAATCTATCCATCATCTATAAAGAATAACATTTAATTAAAACAAATTTATTGGTATAATAGCTTTTCACTTTATAATCAATTTATATCTTTAGAGTTCAATTTTAATAATCCTCAAAAACCAATTTTCAATATTAATTTACTTATAATTTAATCAGAAAATGAATTTATAAATTATTTATAATTTTTAGGAAAAGTAAGCATTTTTTCGAAGTCTAAAATATTTTAGAAAACAAAGCAATAATACATTTAACTGGAGGATAGTTTTCTCTTAAGGGAATCATAATTGAAGGATTAGTATTATCTTAAATTATCAAAATAATTGATTATCAATCAATCTAAATTACAGATTCTTAATCTTTTAATATATCAACATTTTATCCATAGAATTTAATAGAATTTTCTTAAATTAATGAAGTTTAATCAATGCTAAAAATGAATAACATTTCAATAAGAAATGTAAATTCATTTTAAGTCAATAAATACTAATTAAATTATATCATTATTAAAATTAATTCAATTTCTAATCAAATATCTTAATAATTTTTTTATTGACTGTAAATGAAATAAATGAAGGATTGGAGTCAACCAATAATTTTTTTGATCAGTTCTAGCAGAACTCTTAACAATGGGGTTCTTTGATTTATTTTAGGAACTTCACAAACTAAACTCAAATGATGATAAGATAAATTTTAATTGAAAATAATGACTGTTAAAATTGTTGGAATGGTTTAATGTCTTTTGATTTGGCAAAAATAAAATTTATTACAAAATTTATGTATAAGGAACTTTATTAAAAGATATGGATGTATTCTAGCAATATCAGAGAAAAATTTAGATAGAGAAATTAAAATTTTAAATTTAAACTTTATTTCAAATAATGGAACTAAAGGAACAGAAGTTTAAGTTTAAAATTTAAGAATTTCTATGCAAAATTCTAGAATAATTAATAATTTTGCATTTGACAGAGGAGAAGGAATTAATTTTAACCTAAATTCTAATAGATTTTTACTAAATTAAATCATAATTTGCTAGAATTCAGCCTTAGAAAGAAGTGGCATATTTCTGTAGGGAAATAGCAGTTTAAATCTAGAAAATTTTTCTTAAATCACTTAATTTATATCATTCTGCTACTTTATCTTCAATAATATAAATGAGTGACCTTCCCATTTAGACTTATATATTAATTATTAAGAATGCATTCTATTGAATAGAAAATTGATTATTAATCAATTCATACTCTAGTACTAAACTAACTTAGAAAAAAATACAAAGAACAAATTTTTTAACTCTACCAAGTGGTTAAGATTTATCTAATTTTCAACTATTTAATACATAATATTTAAAAATAGTATTAAAGAAATAATTTATTTATGTACACCGTAAATTATTAAAAAATGGACATCTGTTTTCACAATTAAATTTCATAATATCTTATTTTCTGTACTTTATGGTGAATCTCTATAAAAGAATGCTTATACAGAATAATAAATTTTATATTTAAATTAATGAACTTTTAAAATTAAAATACATAAATTGAATAAGAGTCAAACATATAGAAAAATTGCTAAAAAGAAATTGAAGTAGAATACTGGGATTAACTTCAACATTATTTTGTAAAAGCAAAGATTTAAATTAATTTTTTAGAGACTAATTATATATAATATTAAATGGATGATTTAATATTGAGAAAGTAAATTATAACTTATAAGATCTACAAGGGAATTAATTTTTAATGACATAAAAAACCCAGAAATCTTGAAAAATATAGAATAAATTAAGTATCTTTCATGGTACGGAGAGTATGATCAAAATAAAAGGAAAATTGGAAAGTGGAAAGCTTATTGGAATGGAAATGAATTACGAGATGTCGGGGGGTATTACTAGAATGGATTAAAATAAGGTTTATGGAAAGAGTTATTTAAGAATTATTGGAAGTAAATATTAAATAATAATAAATTAATAGCTAAGCATAGGTATATGAAATTGGAGAATATTTTAATGATTAAAAAAGAGGGAGATGGAATTTTATCTATGAAAATAAAAAGATGTATTATTATTAATAAAAGGTAGTGGTTTTGGATCATACAAAGAGCAAGGTTTAAAGGAAGGGAAGTGGAAAGAGTTGAGTGATAAATTTTGGGAAGGATCATAAGTTACTTATGATGGTGAATATCAAAATGGCAAGAAAGTTGGCAAATGGGATATTTAGTATTAGAACACCCACGATAATAAATAGATGTAAGAATTATAAATTTATTTTAGCGGTGGTGGATTCTATCATCAAGGACCTAACGAGATTAAGATTGGGACATGGATTGAAATAAGTAATGGGTTTTGGAGAGATTAATAAATCACCAATAAAGGATTGTATAAATATGGGAAAAAGGTTGGTTTATGGGATATTTGGTATCAAATCAATTTTGGTATAAAAAAATATTTCAAGATGTAAAAAATTATGGGTAAACGACATAGTGGTGATGGATCATATGATGAAGAAGGAGACGAAATCAAAAATGGAAAATGGATTGAATTGAGTGATGGATTTAGAGATTACTCATAAATTATTCATAAAGGTAGATATAAAAATGGAAAAAAAATTGGTAGATGGAGAATTTATTGGAGATTTGATAAATATCATTAAATGTAAAATTATAACTTATAACAAATGTGATAGTGGTGGTGGTTAATATGATCAAGAAGGAAATGGAATGAAGATTGGGGATTGGATTGAAGAAAGTGATGGGTTTTGGAGGCATTCGTTTGTCACCTATAATGGTAAATATCAAAATGGGGAAAAGGTTGGTAGGTGGGATACAAAACTCAATACAAAATAAATGTACACATTATTTTTACAACAATTATTTAGTGGTGGTGGTTTTTATAGTGAAAAAGGTGATGGGATGAAGATGGGCAGATGGATTGAGTTAAGAAGAGGGTTTTGGAGAGATTTGTAAGTCATCTATGATGGTGAATATAAAAATGGAAACAAGGTAGGTAGATGGGATATTTTATTTTTAAGAGAAAATGAGAAAGAATTTACAAAGATGTAAAATGTTTTTACTAAACTTCTTAGTGGCGGTGGTTCATATGAAGAAAGTGGCAATGGTTATAAAATAGGGAAATGGATTGATTTGAGTTATGATTTTGAAAAATAGAATTAAATAATTTATTGTTGTGAATACAATAATAATAAAATAGTTGGTAAGTAAGTGAAAGTTAATTTATAAAATGTAGTTGGTGAAACACAATGTGATAATTGAAAAAATAATATTTATTATTATAGTATTAAATAGACTTCTTTCTGAAATAGGGGACAATTATTAGATGTTGTTTGAAGTTTCTTTTGCGCTTATTTATTTAGAAAATGGATTTTAATAATTTTTGGTTTTTTAAATCAGTGTTATTTAGTCTTTCTTCAATATAAAATTGGAATAAAAGACCTTTGATAAAAAAAGAAGAAAAGTTGTTATAGAAGATTTGTTCTAGAATTTTGAAGAATAAAACTACTTTCAATTTTAATATAAAAATAATTCACCTTTTCTACTTATTAATTAATTGCATTTATCCTAGGTTTTTTTTTTATTTAATTCTAAGATTTTTGTAAGTTTTTTTGAAATCATAAAATTACGATTAAGTCAAATACATTAAAACAAATTCAATAGAATAATATATTTTTCTATTCAAGTATTCTAGCTGAATTAAATTTATTAGAATAATTTAAGTGAAATTTTTATAAGCAGCTTTTATGAGAATTAACATCATAATAAAAATCAGAGCTTCACCTATATAATTATGGTATGTATAAAATGCATTTACAAATTATTTATATTTTAATTCAAAATTAAAATAAGAATGAATAAATCTTATCGTCATAATATTTTCGATAAATATTTTAAGAAGACTATTTCATATCAAAAGATTTGAAATCGCATTTAATAATTTAATAATATATAATAAAAATAGTCAATTTATAAAATTTTTAAAGAGAACATTTATGATTACAAATTATACGACTGTAACTTAATTTTTTAAGTAGACAACGATTTAAATAGGGAAGTTAATCTCTTTATTTGCTGCAATGAATATAATATATTTTTTAATAATATTAAGAACAATAATTGGCTTCCATTCAAGTTTATTGTAAAAATCATACACTTAAGCAAATTTAATTTATATGCTGTTCAAAGGATGAATGTCAACGAATGCTATTCAGATTGTATTTACACTCATATTATTCCTTTTGAAAAAATCCTTCCAATTTAAAAATATTAAGACTGTTTAAAGTGAAAATTGTTGAATTATAACATAGTGATTAGTCTTAGTTGAGAACCTAAAGGCTTAGTTATTCAATAATGATTAAAATAACATTTTAAAGTCTATATTCAAAATATACGATAAACAAAATTAAAAAATTTATTAAGAAATGGAGTAGTAAGAGTTATTTTTCTAAAAATTTTTGAAAGACAATATTTCTTAATAATGCATCTTGGTAAGATATAAATATTTTAGTTGACATTTTAGAATGTATTAATCTAAATACTCATCTTAAAATTAAAGAATAAAAATTATTAACACTTCAAAAACTCAATAAAAATTTATCAAAGCTAAATCTCTGAATTTGATAAAAGTTTATAAAATTTCAGCATTAAATAGTATTATACAATTCAGATGGTTAGTAAAAAATTGATTAAATATTAGAGAATAAAGTTTAGAAAAATTAAAACAAGATTATGAATAAAATTTCACTTTAAATGGAAAGATGGAATTTTCAAAGAAATTGGATAGTACAGAAATAAAAACAGATTATACAAAACAAAATTCAAGATTGAAGATAAATTTAATGGAGAAATAAAATATATACTTAATTGGAAGTAGAACAATGTTATAGATTAGTGAATATTTATTTATGATCATAAATAAATAAAAAAAATGATCATCAAACTTGTATCGGAAAACTTTTTTTATAAACTCTTATATTCAATATCATCAAATATCAAAAGAGTATTTCTAAAAAAAATTACTATAGCTAATATAATATTTGAAGCTTCCTTAACTAGAAAAATCAAAAGATTAAATTCTATGACATAACACTTTTAAAATTTTAAAGAGCAAGGTGAACAATTAATTAACAAATGATAAAATCTGCATAAGTTTGTTATTTGTATTTTTAAAGACACTTTAGAATTTGAATATTAAATGAATGAATACATCTCTTAATGTTCTCATACTAGATGATTGTGATGGAAAAGTACTGATTAAAATAATTAAAAGCATAGAAAGTGTGTCAAAATTAATAGGCAAAAATTTAATTAAATTAAAATGAATTTACCCATTTGAGATAATAAGATAGATTAAAATATTTTTTTAATATAATAAATAAGTGGAAGAAATTTTAACAAATTATTAAACAACTGCAAAAATTAGGTTTATATATTTCCTTTAAAAAAATAAAAAGGAATTAATTAAAGAATGTAATAAAGCTTTAATAAAATTAGATTATTCATAAAAAAAATTATAAAATAGGATAAAATGTTTGTTTGAATTTCATGATTATAATAGTGCTTTGAGTTTGTTGATGATTTATGAAATGATATGTGAAGAAGGATGGTTCAAATTTAATGCAATTTGATAATTTTGTAGAGCTTGTGAGATTTGGTTCAATTATTATAAGGATATTGCTAAAATTTCAATAAAATAATACCTTTGTTATAATAAGCTTTAACAAATTTCGAATTAAGTGAAATCGCTTTATCATAGCACATTATTGCTTATTCATATAATTTCAAACTTTCTAAACAACTTCCTAAAATTCAAATATTTAGATAAAAACCTTTATTATAATAGGCATCAACATAATTAGGATTAAGTGTAATCGCCTTATCATAGCAAATTATTGCTTGTTCATATTATTTCAAATTATCTAAACTAATACCTAATTTTAATTACAAAGATAAAACCTTTATTATTATAAACATTAACATTATTTGGATCAAGTTAAATCGCCTTATCATAGCAGATTATTGCTTGTTCGTATTATTTCAAATTATCTAAACAAATACCTAAAATTTAATTGTGGAGATAAAACCTTTGTTATTATAGACATCAACATTATTAAGATCAAGTAAAATCGCTTAATCAAAGCAGTTTATTGCTTGTTCATATTATTTCAAATTATCTAAACAAATACCTAAAATTTAATTGTGAAGATAAAACCTTTGTTATTATAAACATTAACATTATTTGGATCAAGTGAAATCGCTTTATCAAAGCAGATTACTGCTTGTTCATATTATTTCAAATTGCGTAAAGTATTACCTAGAAATTTATTATGGAGATATAACCTTTATTATTATAGAGATTAAAATTATTTGGATCAAGTGAAATAGCTTTATCAAAACAGATTATTGCTTGTTCATATTGTTTCAAATTACGTAAAGTATTACCTACAATCAAAATATGAAGATACAACCTTTGTTATTATAGGCATTAGCATAATTTGGATCAAGTGAAATAGCTTTATCAAAACAGATTATTGCTTGTTCATATTGTTTCAAATTGCGTAATGTATTACCTACAAATCAAAATATGAAGATAAAACCTTTTTTATTATAGGCATTAACATTAGTTGAATCAAATTAAATAGCTTTATCAAAAAATAACATAGCCTCTTAAAATTCATTTAGTTTATATAGCACAAAACCTAATAGTTATTATTATTTTAAACCCTTTAGATAATTTAAATGACTATTGTTAGAATTCACCACCAAACCTTATTCAGCAAGCAAAACTGCTTTTTAATATTATTACTTTTCAATTAATGAAATTACTATTTATTATTTTAATTTATACTTTTCATCCATAATGCATAAACATTATTTTTATCTAAACCTAAAATAGTATCACAAGAAATCATAAATTATTGATACTTTTCTTCTTTTATGGGTGTATTGCCTGTATCCCAGTTTCTCATAGAATAGTCTATTAATTATTTTTTTTCGATACTTTATAATATCAATACAGCTATATTGCTTTTTTTAATCCTCAATTTTTCCTCTACAGTGATTAGAGCTTATTCTTAAAAATTTTGATGTTCTATTTATAATTCTTTTAACAATTAAAAAGATTTATAGTTTTTATTCTATTACAATAATGAAACACCTTTTTTTATTTATTTTTATACATTAGTAAAACTTTGCCACAAGATTTTTTTTATCTTCTTTTAAAACTTTTTCAAAATATACTAAAGCACGTTCGTAGTCCTTCTAGTTTATTAATTCGATTCCTTTTATCAACCCTAGTTGTATAATATTACAAATACAGAGATCAATTATTTCTTTCTCAAATTAAGTAGATTTTATTATAGTATTCCAATTCTTTATTCTGCTAATGTTATCAAGAAATTCCTTGAATTTTTTTTCTTTCAAATTTTCTACTATCTCCTAGAACATTTGCTGTTCTTTATAAATAATTTTGATTGTTTTTTCATACTGTAACTTTGCCTATTCAAGCTTCTGATCAATTTATTCTAACATTTTATCAAGCTTATAAATAATTAAATCTAGGAGTATATCGATTTTATCAAATGATTTGCAGTCAATTCTACAATTTATATGTTTTTAAGGATTTATTAAACAATTAACACAAAATTGCGATTTAGGTTCCTTACAATCAGCAGATAGGCAAAACCCAACAATTGAATTTCCTTCATGCTCTATATTTTGACAAAGAAACATTTGTATCTTTTTTTAATTTAAATTAAAATAGATAAATATAAACAAAAATATCTATATATATATATTTTATTATTAATAAACTTAACAATAATTAATCGTTAGAATTTTATTATGGATATGTGATTATTTGAACTTTATGTTTGATAATGAGAGATCAGGAGATTTCATTGATAAAACAAAATTAAAATATTCTTCTTTTTTATTTAAAACTATTTTTCTATTATCTAATAAACTCTATTAGAATTTGATTCACATCGATAAAATATCCATCCTTTATCATTTTGTTTAGAAAACTAGATATTACAATATTACTTAACTAGAAAAGCAACTTTTTTTAGTTGAATAAATATTAATTGTAATTTTCCTTAAGCAATATGATTAGAATTGTGCCTTATTTACAAACAGTATTATTTTTGCATCTTAACTTTATAAATTGATAAAGCAAGATAATAGTATGCTCAAAAATCACTCATTTTTCAATTTTTAGATACTTAATCATAAAACAACAGCTTAAATAAATTAAACTTAGTTCTTTCTCTCAAAATATAAAAGATACTAAGGCTTAAGCTTATGTGCAGTAGTAGTTCAACTTGGAAGATATTTATTTTTACAAACAAAAATATTTATCTTTATTTCATATAGCATTGAAAACATTATTTTATTTGATTATAAGAATTATTATTATTCCCAGTAGTTAACTCATCTTGATTCACATAAAAATAGATAAGTTGAGTAACACTCTCAATTCTAAATATTGATTATTTAATCCTTTATATCTTTTCAGTTCCTGTTTTTGTTTCAATTTACCTAATAAATATTTCTTAATTCTATAGATCAAATTATGAAGAATATTTAAGCTGTTTTATAATTATTGTATAATTCTTTCCAGAATTTTGTTGTACTTTCTTTTGAGTTGATTTAATGATTTATACTTTACTTATTGATCTACCTTTTTTATTAATTGAATTTAACTTAATTTAGATAGTATTCTATTACTAGCTACAGAAATCAATTTCTCTACAATGTATATTGATCAAAAATATAAAACATTCAGCATCAATTCTATTATTTCCAGTTCTTTTTTATTTCTTATTTTTAATTCCATGTATCCTATTATTTTGATTAAATGATAATTAAATTAGTGATCAAAAAATTAATTTTTAAGCTAATGTATAATATTAAGATTATATAAACTGTACAAAATATAAATAAAAAATTAAGGTAAACTATAGATTTAGAATTTTGAGTAAAGTAGGAGAGTAAGGATTTCTATTTGAGTAAAGTAATAATTGTAGTTCTTTCACAAATATACTGAAGAAGTTAGTAGGAAAACTAGAAAATAATATTTATTTGGAAGGAAATAAACTCATCTTGAAAGAGAACTAGAGAACTAATAATAGACCAATGTTTATAATTTAAATTTCCTTTGAATTAAAAGTGATATTACACATTTTACCAACAAATTAACTGTGCACAACGAAAAACCAGTGATTTCTAACTGGTAATTATCAATAGATATATCGACTTTATAGGTATTGCTCATTTGTAGGATAGTATGGTTTTATACATTACCTAGGTAAATTTGCGATTTAGATGTTTTTAAGTTTGATCTAAAGATAATGTTATTGCGATAAAATAAGAAAAGTATAATTAATGTCAAAATAAATATAAAAAAATACAATCTCCAGAATAAGAAATAGATTTTGAATTAGATGGGTTAGTTTATAAAGTATTTCTTATCTAATCTTATTTTGAGGGCTAAATTAGTTTTCCTGTTTCTACAATAAATATTATTACTAATTTCTTAAGGATATCTTTCTATTTGCTAATTATATCAGTTATAAACATTTTTTTTTACTTTCTTTAAACCTTAATAAATAATGGATTTTGGTTTTTATACAAATTTTTTTATTAAATTTAGGCGCATATTATAAATGTAATTAATTATATTTGAAACACATTCAGTGAAATAATCTTTTAAAAAAGAAAGAAATAAAACAGTTCAACTAATCAAGATTTAAAAAGCAAATCTTAAATGCAATTAAAGAAAAATTATTGGAAATAGATAATGAATTTAATCATAATAATAAATCGTGCTGTATAATAGGAAAAAGTCAATTAAAACTTTATGTATCATTAAAAAATGTAGGAAAATGGTATTTAATTATAATGAGAATATCAATTATAAAAAATATTACTTTGAAAATGGATTTAAAAAAGTTAATGTATTAATAGTTGAGTTATCAATTTTCAAATAACATTTAGAGGGAAAACTAGTATATCAAGATCTTAGAAAAAAGAAGAATTGTAGAATAACAAAACATCGTTACATTAACAAGAAAATAATATAAATGACAAAATTAAAAGTATTCATTTTTCTATACAATATACTAATCAAGCTACTCAAATCTAGATATTCGTTCTCAATAGCCTATTGGAGACCAATTCCTCTCAACTCCAAATCAGAAAAATATGTTTAATTTTTTAAAATTTGTAATGAAACTTTTTTTATTTTTAGTTTATAACAAAATATCAAGTAATAAAGTAATAGAAATTCATTAATTATTGAAAAAGAAAATGATTTGCCCTTAACATATAAACAAACCCATCCTTTTGATATGCCTGGCCCCTCACACTTGTTAATGTTCAAGGAAACTGTGTATTGAATGTCTTCCTGAACATGGGGTCGATGTTAAATATATAGTTTCGAATGAAAAATTTCAAGAAATGCTGAGAGATAAATTGAAAAAATTTCAGGATTAAGAGACATAAACAGTTGGAAAATAGAAACAATAATTTAAAAATTTACATTCTAAAATTAAGAGAAGGATGAAGAAAAATTTGATGGATTTTTCAGTGTAACTTGAATAAATATACTTTGCTATTGATATGTAAAACCAACTTTTCCTTAATCTTATCCTTGAACGTGATAATTTATCAGAATCCTCATAAACCGACTTAGAACAGTTAGTATCAATTCTAGAAGGAACACCATTAGAAAACTGGAAGAAAGCAAAAAATTCTTATTTGATGAAATTGTAAAATGTTAAAAAATGGTGGAAATTAGAAAATAATGTTTGGATGAAAAAGTAGAAAAAATATTAAAAAGAAATTGATTCATTAATAAAGTCAGTAAATTAAAAAGAAGTTTATGAAGAGAAAAAAGAATTTTATGATGCTTTAGCTTCCTTAAAAGATATTGATGTGAATATATTTAATATAATAATTGAAAAGGCATTAAATGCTAAAATTTCAGATATTTTGGTATTTCTATCAAATGAATAAAATCAATAAATTTTAGAATGGCAACCAGATAAATAAAGAGATATAAATTTAGGAAGAAATAACATTAATAAAATCATTAGTGCTATCAGAAATATTCAAGTACATGAATTTAATTAAAATGACTATTCTACTGAAATCCATTTTATTACTAAAAAGAATCTCATTCAGAAAATATCATAGGATTAGATAATCATTGAGTTTTTAAAATTTTTAGTTCACTTGACGGCAATAGACAATTCATTTATCTAATGTGGTTCAAATTCACTCCATATACTAGTAGATATGAAGGTTAATCTGACATAATAGTGTTTTTCAAATATTAGGATTAAAAATACTTCTTTAATTGGAGCGAATTTAGTAAGATGTAATTTTAATGGATCTGAATTTGAAAATGTAGATATAAGTGGAATGAATTTGAATGGGGCTCAATTATTGAACTGTAAATGGAAAAATTTAAGAATTTAAGAGTCAAATCAATTAGATAGTCATAGTGATTAGGTGATATCAGCATGCTTCTCTCCTGATGGTACTACATTAGCATCCAGTAGTGAAGATTACTCTATTTGTTTATGGAATGTTCAGACAGGATAATTAAAATTTTAATTAGATCGACACACTAGTGCTGTACTTTCACTATGCTACTCTCCAGATGGTACTACAATAGCATTTGGTAGTGCAGATAACTTCATCTGTTTAAAGGATGCTAAGACAGGACAATAAAGATTTTAATTAGATGGACATACCAGTGCTGTACTTTCTCTATGCTTCTCTCCTGATAATGCAACACTAGCATCTGGTAGTAAAGATAAGTCTATCCTTTTATGGGATGTTAAGACAGGGCAATAAAGAGCAAAGTTGAATGGTCATAGTGATTCTGTTCTATCTGTATGCTTCTCTTCTGATGGTACTAAATTAGCATCTGGTAGTGAAGATAAGTCTGTCCGTTTATGGGATGTTAAGACAGGGCAATAAAAAGCAAAATTGAATGGTCACAAGGATTATGTCCTATCAGTACACTTTTCTCCTGATGATACTGCATTAGCATCTGGTAGTTGGGATTCCTCTATCTTTATATGGGATGTTGAGACAGGAAAACCAAAAGCAAAATTTATTGGTCATGATCAATATATTCAATCAATATGTTTCTCTCCTAACGGCGCGACATTAGCATCTGGTAGTAGTGATAAGTCTATCTATTTATGGGATGTTAAAACAGGATAAGTAAAAGCAAAATTAGATGGACATACTAGTACTGTATACTCTGTCTGCTTCTCTCCTGATGGTACTAGATTAGCATCTTGTAGTGGAGATAATTCTATCCGTTTATGGGATGTTTAGGCAAGCGAAGAACTTGTATCTTATAAAAGTTATAAAGATATTCTAGCCTAATTTAAAACTCCCCAATTTTAAATAAATCTTCTACTAGAGGGTGTATTTATTTTTATTATTTTAGCGTTCACTTTTATTACCATACTTCTTATATCCAAAACACCAATATTTTAAGCATAAGGAGCTCTCGTTTTCAAAGGAGAATTCACTAATTAAAAAGGAGTTAATTTAATTTCTTTTTTGAAATCTAAAAGTAGTATTATTTTGGAAAACTAATTCCACTTAAACTCAAAATAGTCTTGATAAATTGCAATTACATTAACAAAATATTAAAATTTATTCTTAATTTTCATTTATTTTCTGCTTTGATCTGATAAGGGAAGATA